ATGTTAGCAACGGACCAGCCTTCACGCTGGCAGCTGTGTGGACTGGCGTTGAAGGTTTAGAGCAGCAGGGGTTTCACAAGTTGCCAGTCTGGAAAGCTTCAAGAAACCACCCATTGATGCATTCCAATCTCTAAAACTGCCACCAGGGATCACCAGGGTTCAAGCCACTGGCCCATCGGCATCCAGGATGCCTTAAGCTTTTTCGAGCGGCGCTTGAAGAATGAGCAGGACAACGTTCGCCTCTCGGTCACCTGTTGGTTTCTCTTTTCAGGTGGTTGATCCCGCACCGAACATTTTTCTTGTTGTGAAATCTCGGTAGGATTGAGAAGAGGGAAGGGTTATTTGCATTTACTTGCCTCAGAACGTTTCAGTTGTTAAATAGGGCACATCTGGGTGAGAGCCAACCACCAACTTAACTAACCTGTCAAGCAGCTGTGTGTGACTCCCGGGCTCACATGTTAGGTACAGCTGTGTTGCAGCACATGTCAACCGTGGTGCCGCTCCTTTCCTGGCGTGCTTCCCATGTGAAGTCCTTCAAGCAACTTCTCACCTTCTCCCTGCAAGCGAAGGGCAGCAGTAGCGCTTCCTTGCATGCTTGGCGGGGGCTCATGGAGGTGCAGCCGCTGAGCCGCCTTGACACTTTTCGGGTGAGCCATGCTCTATGGCTCACAGTGACAGGTGCTGCTTGCCTCTGGTGTGGCATACCTAGAGGCCGAGGTGCAGCTTGCCCAGCTGGGAGAGCAAAGCAGTTTACATCTCAATTTCATGTTCTATTGAGATGGTGTGTAGATGGATTATATATGATTATATCATATATTTTGGTTGGTGGTTTGGAACAGTTTTTATTTTCTATATGTTGGGAATAATCATCCCAACTGACTTTCGATTTTTTCAGAGGGGTAGGTATACCACCAACCAGGAGTGTTTTAGTGGGATCAGTACTGGGCCTTCATGGTGCTCGTTTCTTTTATAATTTTTATACATGCTTAAAGAATCTCGAAACTACAAGTAAGTATGGATCTAAATTGTGCACCCCAAAAAATGGGAAAATGATGGAAAATGCATGTTCATGCATTTTCATACTCAACATTGCAATTGAACCTGTAGTCCCATTATATCCCACTGGCTCTTGAATATTGATGCATGCCCAAGCCCAAAACTGCGATTTGTAGTTGGATATGTTATATAATGTTTGCGGTTGGTGAAGGAAGATTTGCTTGCTCAACTCCAACTTGTTCCCCTTGGACATCTGAAGTATTGCTGCTTCCATATCCTTTTTGTGGTCTATCCAATAAGTATTTGACCACTTGCTAGCTGTCAAAATCCAATGATATTTATACTTGTTTATTTCTTTTGGCTAGCTATACAGTTTCACCAGCTGTTCGTAGTTCAATGGCTTGTTAGAACCACATGTTTATCATGGTTGTTCAAGTTAATAAACCATGGTTTAGACTCCCATTTTCCCGTGCCAAAAAATCTCATTTTTGCTGCTCGAACTGGGCCAGGTCTCTGCCTGTGGCCAATTTGCCTTGGAAACCATGCAGCAGCTGAGACTCGCACGAGTTTGGCCGCAGGCGGAAGGGAAAAAAACCGGGGACATGCAATGGGGACATGGCTAGACCATGTTAAGGCGCTATTTTCATGGTTACTTAAATTACAAGTTGTCATCGTCAAACCATGGAGATAACCAGTGAACTGATGGTTCATCCATCAAAATGTCGAAATAACATGAAACAATCATTGATCATTGGTAAATGGAGGTTTATGGGTGGTTAATGGGGATTGAATGGGGGAACATTGGTATATATACATATATATATATATAATATATTGGTCAGTTACAACGACTTCACCACGATGTTCAAACGGAATCATCATCTAAACATGAAATTGTTTGAAGTTCTTGAAGTGTTTTAATCTTTGATCTTCAACAAGCATTGTCTACACTAGGTGCGTCCCAAATTCCCATGAACCCCCATCTAATCCATCATTAAACTACCATTAAACCACCATTAAACCAGTTTTGAATCACCACTTTGGATATTTTCCAAGGCCCGAAGGCCCTGATCGCTTTGCGATTCGCGTTCGCCAGGATGACACGCACTTTGGAGCGCGGGTCTTGCAACACCTGGTAGTGTCTCGGCCTTGAATCACTGGAAAAGATCAAATCATCCTGCTGATGTGTTAACTAATTACTAATATCTAGTGTTAAATAATAGATGTCTAAATATAAAATAACAAATATCTTAATTATATGCTCTGACATGAACTACCTCCAATAAAGACCCAAATAAATCCAACACAAAACATGGATTTCTACGGGGCTATTCCATATAGGGGAGCAGGGATTGTGATGCAATCAAATTGTGCTGAACAGAATCCTATGATCAAAATTTTACTATCCTTGTTGTCGTGCGGTGTCCAGCCAATAGCCCAAGTGTGATGCAGTAACCTCGGTTTGGGGACATAATATGACATAATCATATATTCATATGCACGTACATATTGCAAATACAGACTTGCACACGTGAACATACTGCAGCACATACACAGGTGGACTATATCTATCTATTTATACATACAAATATATATATATATATATATAAATATATATATAGATAGAGATATGTATATATATATATTATACATACAAAAATGCATATACGTGTAGAAAAACAATGAAAAACATTCAGAAACATTTTTGCCCACGAACCACTTGCCCGAGGACAGTGAGTCGTCCAGCGAGGCAGCGTCCGAGGCCTTCCGGTTGACCACTGAGATGATCGACTGGCTGGTGCCCTTGGCGCTGGCTGCTTATGCTTATACCACTATAGTAACAAGGATAGTAGTGATAAGTCAAAAGAATGTATAACGATATGTAACGATTCGATACATACATATATATATATAATATACATTAATATTATAGTACTATCAGGCAAAACCTGGGTGAAATGTGTATGTACATACTTGAATTTGACATAAGTCTGACATAATCTGACTATCTAAAGAGCAGGTGTTAAAGTCGAGTGACGAGTGAGAGAAGTTCTTGACATCCGAGATGGGATCCTGACGTTTGATGGACGCAATGGTGCCCACTTTTGCTTATGGCTTCAACCCTCCACTAGACATGTGAGATCTGTAAATCATCACGTGGCTGTAAGTAGATGTAAGTAGAGGGTCTGATTTTTGAACGCGATGTTTAAGACATGGCTTCAGCGGATGTTCGAACCAAGGTCCTGTGCTTTTTGAGGCCAGGCGTTCAAGATCTTCTCAATGCCTCCCGCGTGGTGGAAGCCTGTGGTCAACTGCTGCATTGGAACAACATCCTGCTGGAGAGGGCCAGGATGAGATACCGCAGTCGGAGAGTGTCAAACCCGGATCAGCAATTGTAACCCCTCTGTTCATTAACTCAAGATATTCAAGGCACGTCAAGGCACCCCAAAAAGATGAGAATTTATATGCTATCACGAAAATATCGTTTCCCCCATCAAGAACCACGGTTTATTTGAATTGATCGTGAGTTAACATTTGCAGAATTGAAGAGCACCATCATCCTATGTTTGCAGACCCAATGCTTTTCCAGGTCCTGAAAATGGGGGTCGATAAATATCCCCAATATGATCATATGATCATATATTATGATCTCTAAAATGTAAGGAATCCGTGGTGATGGTTGATTAATATCCATTATATCCCCTATATTTCTATTAGATGCAGAAGTGTATGGACCCATGGTCCATGATGTTCATGAGAATGTTTCTCAGTGGTCCAACTGGCGCAGCTGAAACTTGTCCGAACAGGAGCTTCCGCCGTTCGCGGAGAGGAACGGCCTTGATTGCGTCACCTGCATTGACGGCCTTGGCGCAAGAAAGTTTCTAGGATAGATGAAACATGTGCTTGAAATAGCCTCCGGTAATCAAGCGTGCCTGTCTAGGAAATCCTTTGTAAATGGAGGTTTATAGCTGGGAAATTCATCTAGAAATGGTGGATTTGCCAGCATGCCATGGTTGATTACCGGAAAGTATGCGAATGTTTGAAGTGCCCGGTGGGGTCAAAATATGTTTAGTTTGCCTGTTTCTATTTGGGATGGTCAGGCGGTTGGACACCACTACTCTGACATACTTTGACGTTTGGTTTGTTCTCTATTCCTGCTACTCTCCACTTCTGTTCCAGTCATTTCTTCTACCCTAAGATATTGTAACACCTTTTATATCCATCAAGACCTAGGGCGCCATTCTTTTCGGTTGCTGGGAGGTCACCCATTCAGGTTTTGGTGCTGCATCCCAAGCCTTGTCCAGTTGGTGGAGCCTACCAAGAACCGTAAGGCAGGAATCCGGACCGAGTCCTTTTTTGTTGCAGATGTTTCCATAGGTGAGCTATACCTTTGGCTAAATCTTCGAAATGCGGGTCATTCCTGGACAATATACTCGAATATACTTGATATTTACTGTACATTAAACTTACTGTAATTATATGGACTGTTTTATGATGGTGAACCAAATTGATCCATACATTATCTTGCTTCTTCAACCTTGAAACTGTTGGTGTGGTCGATCCTACACACCCATGACATGGCCCCGTCGCAGTTCAGGCAAGTGTTTCTTTGGCTGCGACGGGACATTGTGGGACATTGTGGGACCATGGGGTCTTGATCTCGTTTCTCTTAGTTTTACCCATGGTTTTACATAGTTTTACACAGAAATTCATGGTTCAACTCGTGGACAAAAAACTCGTCAACCGATTCTGTCGAGGTACAGTACATGGTCTGAAAAAACCTGGGATTTTTCCATCATCCCAACATGTCCCGGGTGGAAATTCCCACCATTTCCAAAGTAGTGAAGCCTGATTTCAATTCCAATGACAGCAAGCGCACTTGGTGGTCCTGGCTACCCTTCTTTTTCCGATTATTATTTGGGCTCCTGGACACAAAGCAAATGTGATGCCAAGTTTCGCAATCGAAGCCCTTCACACTTAGACTTGATGGTTTGGTGCTGAGGATTACATTTTTATTGCAATATCCTCTGGAAAGTGATGCTCGTGAGCTTCTGGCTGCGCAAGAGGAAGCCATATCTCGCTTGTGTGAGCTATGCTCCAAGCCGTCCTTTTTGCGCACCATGGCTTGGAATCTGCAGTGTTGAAATCCAGTTCCCAGGTATGTGGATTCATCCAAGACGTTTTGTTTAAAACATGTTCAACCGTTTTGACTATCATGGGCAACATGTGGTTTTGTTATATGTTTTATTTCCTCGTTGTGTACGACCATAGGTCTTCCAGCCCCTCCTTCGCAACTGGCGTCGACATGTGTTTTGATTGCCAGTAGTCCGTTAATCATATGTTTGGATTGATTCAGACCAATTCTTCAACCCATTACAATTGCACATATACATATATAATACATATATTATACACGTAGGTAACCGTAGGTATAATTGAAAAACAAGTACCGATATCATGTAACATAATGTAATGTTACGCTATGTGACATATGTATGTTTATTCTCATTTTTTCACCATTCATTGATGTCAGGATTTGATTCTATAACTGTCCGAACCCATGTTACATCACCCCATCCACAGCCTGGCTAGGCGTTTTTGATTGGTCCTTGGAGCCGATTCCATGGCACTGGGCGTCAGCACTGCAGTTGCTGCAGGGTGACCTGCAGACTCGTCCAGAGCGTCTCGGTGAGTAACATAGATGTGGAAAAGCACATTTTGTTCATAGGAAACTCATGGAAAATCATGGAAAATATGGGAAAATCATAGGAAAATCATAATGTTTATCATCTAAACCAAGATGGGTCGGTATGGGTCGTTTTCCATAGCTATGTTAAATAACCAGAGGGTAGCCATTTTTGGCGATGTGGACTTACCCTAGGGTAAACATACAAAAATACTTGGAAAACCATGGAAAACACATGGTTATCCTAGGAACATGATCTGGAAATGGTTGATTTTTCACATCTGATTACATTAGTTTACCGCAAGCAAAATTATAAATGATGGTTGATATGTATGTATACAATACATATATATATATATATATTTACAATTCACATAACTGTTGGGGTATACTCTCCGATTTTTTTTTTAAACGTTGCTGACTTGGAAATCCGCGGTAAATGAAGATTTATAGCTGATGGGATCTGATTGGAAATCATCGATAAATGGTGGAATTTCTTGTACGCCATGTTTGGTTACCATTAATTTACACATGATTACACATGACGGTTGGTTGATGTGATTCCTGTTTTGGTCTTCTGTCGTCCGAACCTTCAGGAGAATAAAAACACACACATACATTTGGTTGGTGGTTTGGAACATTTTTTTTATTTTTCCATATGTTGGGAAGAATCATCCCAACTGACTAATCAAAGGGGTTGAAACCACCAACCAGACATATTCCTATGACATTGAAGCGACATAAAATACCACTGGGAAGGGCCTGGTTGAGACCCTGAGAATCTCTCTCTTTGAGGCTACGAAGATCTACGAAGTACTAGATCCAGTTCTAGGCATGATTTAGTGACTAGATGAAATTAGCGTACTTACTGGACCTGATGTGATCTAATTTTTCTAGTATTTATAAGCATTTGAATAGTCAGATGTATTTAAGTAATGGGTCCAAGCAGCTTGACGGCTCACATTACTCATAGGTGGAATTTAGTGTTGGATCGTATGGTCTAATCGTGTGCAGGGCTTTGGTGAATTTCATGGAATTAAATATATATTAAGGTTATTGAGATGGCGATGGGAGAGAGAGGGAGATTGGGAGGATGGGATGGCTGGATGTTTTTTGAAAAGGTTTCTTGGCCAAGGGGAAGTCGCTGAGGTTGCATAATCAGCTCCTCAATGCCCTATGTATGGGCTGGGAAGGCAGCAATGATACGCAACGCTTCAGCTTCGCGACAACGATCATCAGCAACGTCACTGCCATCCGCAACCAACGAAACCGCGTTGATGCCTGGCCCATTCATGCCATCCTTAGTTACCCCATGAATTGCACACTAGTGGCACCCTTAGTTGCGCCATTTGTATATTAGCTCCTCTATTATTTGCTATTAATGATAGTTGGACCATGTTGGAACCATTCCGAAAACGGCCCCAGGAGGCCTTAGCACCGTTGCTGCAGCAGATTTGGAGCTGGCGCTTCTCCTTCCAAATCTCGCGGTCCTCGGAGACGGAACAAGTTCAAGCGGCCTGGGCCTTGAGAATGAAGATCTCCTTGCGAAAGCAGGTGCCGGGCTCGGTGGCAAGGCAGTGGCCCTGTGTTTTTTTTGGGCCCCCCAAAAAGAATATGACTGAATATGATGTATGGTGACTGGGATTTAAACAGATGACCCAATAGTGTTAAACATCGAAAATCAGGATTGTTTGAGAATCGAAGATGCTTGCTCCATGATTTTGCACCACTGAAGGGTCTGAAGGTTTTGTCCCTTGGCCAATCTCTGGAAGGCGGAGCAGTTGCTCCTTTCCAAGAAGAGGACGGAGCAGTTTCAGTATGATTTACACAGGATGTTTGGGATTGACCCCCCCTTGAATTTGGAACATCAACCCTGGACTTTAAGGACCCGAAATGATGCACATGTCCCAAGATGATTTTAGATCCTTTTCCCGGTTGGAGTTGGGTTCTTCGGTACTGGGGGAATGTCCTCAGTTTTGCAATGCTTTGGACCTTTTCTTTGTGATGTCATGGTGCTTTTTTTATAGTGGAGGGAATGGGATGTAACTGGGAATTTAGGATTATGGGAATTCATGGCAAACATGATAAACATTCTCCATAAACCATGGCTTAAGGGAGTATGACACTACATATTTGGGACCATTTGGAGGATAATTAAGATTAATTAATTATATAGTGATTAATTCCTGTAAGAAATGATGATGTTTTTCTCCGGGGGCGAGAGAAGTTTGCAGAACCGTTTTCATCCCTTTTTTTGTGTCACATCCGAAGGAAAAAACGAGCTGCTGCTCGAGCTTTGCTGCAACACTGGGCGAATCAGACGGATGAGTTCAGTTCCTTAATTTTGCATCAGTTTGTTCGCATCTTTTTTCCTCATTTGCGCACTTTTAGCGGGATTGCCCATGAGTATAGCTCTGCATGTGTTGATTTGTTGGGATGGTGCACTATCAGTACTGCTTTTCGCTCAGCTCATTAGGTGTTTTTTTTACCTGGCCTTCATTGAGCGCGACATATGCTAAAAAGAGAGGTGGCTGCCCCAATGCAACACTGCCTTTCTGAGTTTCCCCCTAACTGGTACTCTTATCAGTGAAATATCAGTGAATATACATTGTGTATCCTGGCGTGTTGCAAAAAAACAAACAACATGTTCATAGTTCATAATCTTGTTAATCTTGTTCGTACACATATACTATATATGTGCATGTATGTATGTTTATATATAGTCTATATATCATGTATAATATTATGTAGATATACATTTTGGGCATGTGCTGCTACTATGCGATTCCCACAGCTTCTAGGATTGGAGTTGCTTTGCAGCTCTGATCTTCTCCTCCGTACCCTGCAGTACCGGCCCCATCAGCTGCTGCTGCCGGGCCATGGCTGCGACGGGAAGCTGGGGCACTTGCAGCGCTTGGTGGTGGAGTTTCAGGTGCCACTGCATCTCCTGAAGGAAACAAAGGCGGGAAAAGCCCCATGGAAAACCAGGTGGTTTTCTGGCAGTGTGTTCACCAGTGACATGTTTTGGTTTATATAAACGCAATATATACCCCCCTACATTATCCTACATTATCATGATACATAAATGATCTACATGTGCTCAACTAAACCAAACTTAACGACGGGACACCACCTTCCAGCTGGGCTGATGATTGGCGTCCCCAAACAGCTTCCAAAAAGGGCTTCCAGGATGTTGTTAGATGATGATGAAGATGATGATGATGATGTTTTCCCCCATCATTTTATGAATACATATAATTTCATTTCTCAGTTTTTGCAGCACTAAATTTCCACCAGCACCTGCCTTTGGGAGGCGAGCCACGTTGCGGCACCCTTTTTCCATTGGCCACCAGATTTGCAGACGCTTCGCCTTCAGACATGGCTTGTTGCCGCGGGTTTGAACACTTTGTGACTGTTGGTTGAAATCAAGAGGTCGATGGCTTCACGTTTCAAGTGTTTTTTTCGTTGTGTCCCTGTCTGAGAGAGTGCGATAGCCTTGCCTAAACGGTGCCAGTGGGGGGAATCGCCTGGTCATCGAAAAACGGTGTCCCAAAAAAGATGCCGAATATGTATTTTTTTCAGGATGGCACAGCCGTTACAGCTGATATTTGCATAATTTTACCTACATACCTTGCAGATTCATTAATATTACCCCCTACTTTGCAGGTTTCCACAACTCTTCAACAACCATTTAAGTTGGGTTGCTAAGAAAAACTGAGAGTTCATATTTCTTGCCGGATGATTGTTTAGGGACCATCCACCATGGAGAGCCAAGGGCTGCATTTGCCAATTTCTGGTGCTTGCCCACGCTGACAGCGACTTGGCCCAGCCATGTTTGTTGGTTGCCACCTTATTCACAGACGATCAGTCGGATATGCCCCTAAGGAGCACGGTATGCACAGGTCTTTGAAGCCGGCTTGCAACGAGTAACTGGCTGGCAAGTTTGCACCGTTCTTTTGTTTTTTCATGTTTCATTCCCACGTTTGGGATGCGTATTTGGATGCGCGGTGTTGGGTAGTCTTGCATTTGCTATACTTGCTTTCTTACTCCTATGACTGTTGGGGTGGTCGTTCAACCTCACTCACCACGGTTGCCTCGCTGATATCAGACATTGATTGCACATGTTGTCTTGGTTGTTGGCAGCAGCAGTGTCAAACAGGTTTATTGGATGTGTTTAATGTCAAGAAGATTTGTAGATAGTCGTTGCTATTATATTAATATTAACTACTCTATAAGAATAATTTGACTTGCCTGGACTGCCTGTAAAATCTGTAAAGCAGCATCTCTAAATCAACGCCAAACTCAACATTTGTCAATCAGCCAGAATCATCCCTTAACATCGCTTTTGTCACATTTTTTCTCCAAGAATCTCACCGTTTGAGGCACGTCATCGTGCGCTGCGCCCAGCTTTTCTTGGCCCTGCCAGACGTGGACCACGCACCGCTGCAGCGGCTGATAGACGTCTGCGCCCGTCAGCTGGACACGGGCGATGCAGGGACGGAGCGCACGGAGCGCACGGAGCAGGCCTTGCTGCGCGGCAGTGGCTGGGCTGGTGGGATCCGGTTGGGGGGGCTTCCCTAGAGCCAATTCCGTGTTTTTTTTGGGGATTTCACATGATTGCCTGGTCGAACATGATCTAACCATCGAAAATGAGGATATGATTGGTGATGTCAACCCCCCCGGAATTAGAAACCCCAAACGGCTGTTCAATTGGGTACCATCTAAGTATCCGATGAAATCACGGGAGGTACCACCCTAATGAATTGACATTATATATCTAAAGCGAGAAATATGATTGGCGATATAACACCCATGATACTGGCTGGTGCTTTGGAATGTTTGCTATTTTACATATTGTTTGTTTGGGATGATCGCAGCTGACTAATGTTTCGCAATCCAAGTGGGGGAGTGCAAACTTGGGTTGCCCCAACATCATTGTGATGTCAACATGCTTTCTGCGGCTCTTATCTTAAGCAAATTCCTTGGTTCATGCAGGGGTAAGGTGTGGCCCCCAAGTTATGTTTGTCGGCTTATGTTCACTCATCCAACCCTTGGTATACCCGCTATAAACATCCATATGCCCAACACCGTAGTTATGAACAAACCACAACAAACCTATCTCAATATCATAAATCAAGTCTTGATCCCCATAGTTGTGGTTCCATTATGTATAAATCATCTCAAATCCTGGGTTTCTTTGCCCAGATATACCCAGATCAGTTCTCTGGAGATACAGATTCCCAGGCTGTGGTCGGATCCTCGATCAGTTGCTGCTGCTCTTGGCAGCCTCCGACCGGCCCAGTGCGGTGCTTCCGATCTTCGACGCCCGGCCGATGGCGGCTGGAAACCAGAGAAATGGGGAGTAAAGCAGCCAAAATGATGGAGAAATTGAGATTTCACATGGATTTAACCACAAAAAATATGGAGATTCATTATGTGACTTAGGTAAGTTGGTTTAGAACTAAAGGCTAACCCTGTTTGGGCTTGTCAGTTGTTGTCTCTTATATAGTGAGGAGGATGGGGAAATTGCCCAAAATTGTCCGGCCACGAAATATACCAGGCATGGAGTGTGCAACTTGAGTTCTCAGGTGGCAGGGTGGCTTCAAATTCTTGATATGTTCCACTTTCTTGGACTTAGGATCCTTGCGCCACCAATATCAGAACCTGTTGGATATTTTTTTCCGGCCGGGTGGTTCCAAAAGCCACATTATAAACCCCCATGGTCTATAAATATTCCTACATATCTCTAGCATAAACCATAGAGTTAACGCAGTTATGGTTGCCAACTTACCTATGCTTTGGGCACCAGCAGTGCCCAGTTCGTGCTAACCAGGAAAGTCACCTGGGCCGTGGTGTTTCGAAGCAAGCGGCGCGCAGCTTCCAACGCCTCTTGCGCCGCACGGCGCCCGTGGAAGCGCAGCAAACCTTGGCCAAGCTGTTGGCAGCCGAGCCACTGAGCGAAACAAGCCATGCCTGGCGGATTTTCCTTGGGATGATGATTTTGAAAGTGTTTGTTGTTGAAGATATTGATGTTGATGTGTGGTACTGGAATGTACTGGATAGGACTCGTTGAATTGTCTATATACTGTATTTTTTGGTTGATGATTTCAAGAATTGATGGAGTTTTATCCGCACATGTTTGCACATGATTAAATTGGTACTTTCACCTGAAGCGGAATCAATCCAATGCCCAACATTACTTAGCAGGCACACCACCAACAGCCCAATTCACGGTCGGTTCCAAGCCAGTACAAGGTTTATCCCCTGCTCATTGCATTTTGACAAATCAGAACGACCTCAGACCTAACATATCCCCAAATGTTTAGCATCAGGATCTTGAATTGACTGCCGTGTAAAATTACCCACACACATAAGATGCATACCATCACCAAGACCATCACCACCATCACCATCACCATCACCATCACCATCGCCACCATCGCCACCATCACCTTCAAAGATAAAAGTCATAATATGTGCAGTGTATATACACATATATATATAATAGTATGTTCATTTATTTAGTTAATGTTCACCCATTCTACTGTAGATATATCCGCCACAAACCCAGCAGTTGTCTTTTATGAAGTTTTCATCTCATTAAACATTTCGTATCAATAAATCATAATTAAAAAAATGCATCATCTTGCATCAAAAAAGGCATATCTCCCCAGTATTTTTCAAGAGAAATGCGTGAAATCCGAACTGGGCCCAGGTCAGGCTGCCTAAAGGTGGCCGAGCAAGTGGCCCTGGTGCGCCTGGTGGGCGAATTCCTGGGGAAGGCCCGTTTTGCCACCTGGTGGGAGGTTCCTGAATAATTTATTAATGGTTTAGTAACCAAACAACATTTATTACCCTCTGGTTATGACTAACATAGCCATGGAAAATCACCATGTGTAGTAGGTAAACCATCTATTTCTATGGGCCATTTTCCATGGCTATGTTAAATAACCCAGAGGGTAATGGTTTTCTTTGGGGAATTTTGATGGATATTTTATTGGGATGATAAATGGTAACTATCCCATGATAACTGGTTAGTAGGGTTTTAAGCCACTTATAAATGCGATAAGCCTAAGCATCGAGGACTTGCTAACCAGGAGATCACGGGAGAACAAAAGAAGTTACATACTGACTTGGATGATCTTCTGAGATTAATTCTGTGCATTCTATGGCTTATTGTAGACTTAGATATATCAATGATATTGATCCCGTGAAAAATTGGGTAAAAAATAAGCCAACGGACATCAACAGACCAGCTGCCCCTGCGAGACGGCGATTTACGAGGCAAACATGTGGTACAAAACCTATAGCTCAAAACCATTTTTAATGGGTACAATTTTTTGGGAGATGTAATCAAGACATTTTCAGATCCATGGGCAGTTACTATACCTTTATCAGATATAGTCATGGGATCTGTTGATGGGGTTATATAAATGGCTGAACTGTTCAGTCCCTCAGTCCGTTGAATTCGAATCATTTACTCAAAAACATGGAGCTGAACAGTTTGAGTAAATCAGGATTACGAACTGACAAATATGGATGCTATTTAGTGACTCAGGATTTGTTTGTTTGCTGCATGCCTCGAACCTGCAAGCAGTCACATGGATTTGCTGATCCCCTCAGCACAGACAGAGGTTTTCTGCTCAATCGTCCTCAACAAAACCAAACAGTGTCTCAAGATTTCCCAAAAGAGGGTAAACATGGGTAAACCCTCAAAGTACTGGTAGTTATTTTATGTTATTTTATGTTATTTTATGTTATTTTCATGCGGAAAATGATGGGAGAGTCCCATGGATTTAGGGAAAAACCGTTTTCAGACCATATGACATCGCCCTGGCCTGGGCCACAGGCGGCCGTGGAACCACTCAAGGCCATTTGGCAGAAGTGTCGCTTGGATTTTCAATGTTCACCGACGTTATTTTGATAGTTATACTTATGTTATACTACAAGGCGGCGTAATTTCAGTTATGTTTGTTGGTTTACAAACTCCGTTCACCACACATATATATCATATATATATATATATATCATATATAATTATATATATAATGATAATGATTTTGATAATGATAATGATAATGATAATGACAATGATAATGATGATAGTAATGATTGTTTTTATTATTATCATATATATATATAGATATTTAGGTTAAATTTGCATAGCATAAACCCTGATTCACCTAATAGCTATCTAGGTCCCCTTGGCCTCAGGTCATCGAGACGTTGCCGGCGCAGTGTTGTGCCAGTTCTGTCATCCCAAGGTCTCCTGCGATGCATCGGCGCCTCGTTTTTTTGTAACGGTTTCGACTGGTGAAACTGGTGAAACTGCTGGGAAACTATGATAAAACTATGGAAAAATATGGTAAACTATGATAAAACTATGGAAAAGTATGGTAAACTATGATAAAACTATGGTAATGTATTGTAAAAAACTATTGGTAAACTATTGGTAACTTCCTTTATATAAACTTTACACTAGTGGCTGCTAGAAAATTCTTTTGATGTACAACTATAATCTATTGGTAGATCATTCTTAATGTATTTTTACAATGTGGAATAAACCTTTAAACATATTTAAAACAACGTGGGATGCAGCACCAAGGCGTTACGTTTCAATTGCTCAACATTGTCAGAACAGGTCAACTCAGATGTTGAAAGATTGTAAAATATTCATATGGGTGTCTTAGAATTTGGTAAACTTTGCTGGCTCATCACCATGTTCCCTTTTGCAAAATGCAATTTCGAGGCTTCCTCATTTTGAGACAAGCACATGAAGTCCCATTCAAAGTTGCAGTCCCATCACCAGTTTTTCCATCGATGAAACAGAAACCATCCATTGGGCCCCCACCTGAGGCTGCTGTGGTGGAAGATCTGTGCATCCAAGTGAAAGCAGGTAGCAGGGAGCCTTACCAGCTTCAGATCTTGTCGCTTGGCTGACGCTTGGGTGAGAGAACGACGGTTGAATTTCCCACGGTTCATGGGAAGATCGCAAATCCGTTCCAACATATTCTAACATATTCTAATTCTAATATGATTATTCCAAGATCATCCAACATCATATGTTGAAGTACTTGAATCCAGACGAGTTTGCAGTTGGCTGGTTACGGTTAGTTGCATAGTAAATTACTCATGGGGATGGAAATTTGGTGCATTCTGTTTTTCACGGGGCATTCTGCACTCATCAGCCTCTTGAAGGATTGACCTGTGCGTATCCCCCATGAAATTCATGGAGAAAACAAACATCTGTCCGGTGAAAATTTTCCCAGACCAATCCATTGAAGACCACATTTGATGATCATAGAATCATAGGTCATGTTGAATCCCCATTTTTGTTGGTGAGATCCCCAGTTTCTGTTGCGTGGATTCCAGGTTGCAGCATCTCCAGGGAAATCCCTGTGACGATCGCGTGGCGAAAATCCTCGTGACGACCGCGGGCGGTGCAGATCCTACCCTGGCAGAACTTGCCCTGGGCGCACTGGAGACTTGGTATGGGATGATGGAAATACCCTGAAATACCTTGGGGTGCTGCCCCAGTTTGTTAGCCATTAGCCTAAGGTTGGTGAACATATCTACAATCACTTGGGTTTATAGGATGTATCATAATAGATTGATTAGATCTATAATGGGGGCTTTACAATGTTATAAACACTTATTAACTGGGTGGGCACCACCTTGCCTTTGGATGATATGAGTGTAAAACTGATCAAACATGATCAAACATTTGGATTTCACCGGAAATAAGAAGTGTTATTATATATATATATATTTATATTGGTGTTATATCAATGATATATATGCCACCCCAAGCCCAGGGCGGACCAGGCAAAGATGCGGTTCCTAAAGGTGCTGAGTATTGACTCTAAGGCATGTTGGTCCAAGCAGCAGCTAAGCTCGACTTCCACATTTGCAGCGGTGGCAGCAGTAGCTAGTGAGGTCCTTTGTCGCTTTGACGCTGGATGGCAGGCGAGTCGAAACTTCGTCTGCAGGGTTATGCAGCTCACTAGTTTGGTTTGCCCAAAACTCTTCTTGCAATTTCAATAGTGGAAATGATGCTAATCAAATCTATCTATTGGAATTGGGGAGGTGCCCTGTTTTCAGACAAAGCCATTTGGTTTGGACCACTTCTTTGGGGAACGCCGGCAAAACATCGAAGCCAGCAGGTCCCACCTGGGGTGGCATTGCCTTGGAAGGTCCAGTCATGTCCGGTCAAGAGCTCAATGTGTTCACCTATCACTGTACAAGGTGATGCTCCCCGAATCTATTTATAATATGTTTAACATATTTTAACCGCACTTAACCACACTAACCATTATATAACCCCCATTAACATCCATTAACCATATATAACCCCCATTAACCACACTGCGCCATAAATGGGCCATAAACCCAACAGCTGATCTCATCAAGCAACGCCAGGTGGCTGCCCCTTCGGCCATGCGTTGCTTGATGCACTTGGCCGCGGCCGAAGCTGAGCTGCTCAAGAAAGGTGCCTTGGTGCCTTGGTGGTGCCAAATTGCCGGAGTCATAATTAGACCGTAACAGCCATGGTCACTGGGGATGTTGTTTCCATGACGAAACGAAACTCCCATATCATCAAGGTTCTAGTTTGAATCCGGAGCTGTTAACCCGACTTGACAAGCGTTTAATTAACCTTACATTTTAGATCCGGGTTTGCCAACGCAGGAAGCTTCTCCTGACCGCCAGGCCTCTGCACCTTAGCCACCTTAACCTCGATGAAAGCAATGCGGCGCTTGAGGCATATGGCGGAGCTTCTCGTGGAGGACGGCGCTTGAAAGTCGAAAGGGTCAATCCATTGGAACTTTCTGGGCTATAGGTCTTCTATTGGCTTTCCAGTTGTCCGTTGTCCATTGTTTTTTGATCAGTTTGAAAGTGCCTGCACTATTGAACCATTGGTTTGACATTTGGGTTTGCGTGGCGAAGTTTCGTCTTAAAAGGGATGACAGACAAAAATCAAGAAAACATGTTCTCAGAACCCATGAGAACCTCGCATTTGCGTTTGGATACTTTTAGGGGTTTGTCTGCAACTAAGCGGGGAACATTCCCAAATCATAAATTAATCCAATGGATAGCTTTTTCTCCCTCTATTCAAGTGGCCATTTGGGGGGGTAAACCTGCAGTTGATTCATAAACAGCCCAGTTTTGTTTTTGTTTTTCGGAATCCGTGGTTGACATTAGAAATGCAGCCCCCTGATTCGGGGCCACCGAAGGAGGCAGACCCTACAGTCCGATCCGCGGCCGCAGCCGCCCTGCTGGGCAATGTCGGATGCGGTGCAGCTGTGCGATGGGGACTGGAGTTGTGGGCGAGAGATTTGCATTGGAACGAGGCTTGAAATGGCTAAAGCTGTGTGCAGGGTAGGATACCAGTTTTTTTTGTTGGCTCCCTACAATTAGATTGCCATTATATAATATAGGAAATGTAACAACATAGAATATATTATATATATATTTATGTAACATGGAATAACATAGAATATATGTAATATATGGACGTGTGTAACAAATGATTTTCCCCCTCCAGTTTAATACTCAATGTGTTTTTCTCCATCAACAACATGTATTATTCAAGCCAGCGGAACCTAGATTAGCCATGAGAAAAGTGAGAATTGCTGCGATGCACTTTGAAGCTTTGTTGGTGATGATAGATAGTTATTATTGCTGGGAAAAAACCTGTCAGATCGGAAAATGCAAGATAGATAGATAGATATATATATATAATATATATATATATATATTACATGTTCATACATATAGATAGATAGGTCCACTCACAGGAGTTGGTAAGTCAGGAGTTGGTTCACAAAAATCCCGTTCGACACAAAAATCGTCTTTTCCAGGCCACGGGGCTGTTGCAGCAAGTGGCGCAGCTTCCAACGGATATCCGGGAGGAGCCGCTGTTCCTGGCGCCGATGCTGCGAAGCTGCAAGGCCTCACTGGCGAGGGAAACACTGGAAACACTTCAGCTGAAGGACTGGGATCTGAGGGATTTCTTGGATTTTAGACATAGCGACATAGCCATTTAGATGACACTTTAGACTTTTTCTTGGATGACTTTAGACATTTGTCTCTTGAATTGTTACTAGGCTTTTCATCGGCTATTAGTAATCAGACATATTAGCTTAATGATGACCAAGCATTGAGGTGACATTCTTGTGAGTTTCGTAGATTTCTGAGGCGATGAGGGTAATTTGAGTCCAAGATGACCGGATTGGGTTTCTCCTTTGTCCATGGGCATTTGCCGAAACATGATCTGGATGGTGTCAGTCGGGATCATCAGAGAATGTACACAACCACACATGGATAGCGACTAGCGACACATCAATTATTTGCAGCGATCTACAGTATCCTTTGACCAACAAAACATAAACAAACACAGAGGGAAATCACCACATAATGACATAGTGTGACAATATAAGAACAGCAACAAACAACAAAAGATATCTACAATTTCAAACATGAAGGGATAAGGCAGAACAGATTGAAACATATAAGGTAATTAAGCTAAGATTTGTCCATGATGGTTCAAAAATTGGTCACAAACCATACCTGTAGCATAATTACACATGCACCAAAAACAAAAACAGCGTAAAGCACATTCTAAATCCTTCATTCCTTTTCTTTCAACCCCTCTAAATCTCTATTTAATTTGCACAGCTGGTTGTACAATGTGATACAAGTAGATCACATTAATGTGGGAAACCCAATGCCATAAACCTATCATTTTGGGATGGTCTATACCATATACAAATGATGATGACTTGGGGATTGTTTATGGTGATGATGGGCATGGTTTATTGCTTTGGGTTTCCCCGCGTGAATGCTGGGTCTCGATCCCTTTGTTTGGAATAATAGCGATATTGAACACACTATTATGGTTATTTTACCACATGACATTTACCGCATAAATTGTACCAAATTAATTTTACCACAGTAATTTTGCAACATTAATAAACACAATTATGGATAATTCTGGATCATCCCATCGTTTCAGGATACGGCGCTTCACCTGGCTTCAACGCTTCCCGAGCTGCCCAAAGGCCACGTGGAAGCCATCATGGTGCTGCTGCTGGCGATGGATGCGGAAGCACTGGAACCATGCCTGGAAGAACGGACGCCATCTCTGGCCCTACAGGTCAGCAGCGGGTGGTCGAAACAGTTATATATATATATAATATTATATACCTTTATTCAAATATAATCAAATATATATATACACATGTCGAGATATAGTATGCAGAGAGAGGGTAACCCCAAAACAGAATAAAATAAACTCTGGTAATGCAAGGTGGCAAGCTGGAAAATCTTAGATCAATGGTGTTTATAGCTGGGAAAATCATCTATCAATGGTGGATTTTCCATTGCCATTTTTCATATGTTACCAACTTAGCAAAGATTATACTGGATATTTTATGTTTGGACGACGTGGGGTATAACTACCACGAATCAAGGATCAACATGCTGCAAGCAAGCCACCAAGAGCACAGAACCAAAATGAAGAGTTCAACCGCCATAAAACCCCTGGATTTTTACCTTCTCTCTGCCTCTCAAAAAAAGTGGGCTACCAGGTGCTTCTCGCAGACTTGCAAGATGCCGGGATGAGCACTGGCCCCACAGTTGCGGAGGATGAGGACTTTGAGGACGAGGATGAAGACTATGACTATGAATGATTTTCTGACCCTCAGGAGCCAGTTGTTGAAAAGGAAAAGTGCTGGAACATCAGATGAACTATGATGATTTCATGTTCAAACCCGTGGCAATGATTTGTCATTGCTTGTGAATACAATCACTTACTGGGTTTGATTGAGTTCTAGTGGGTTTCAAAAAGACCGCCACCTGGGAGAAAACAAACTGCTGGTGCATCAGAGAGTTGAAGTATGTTGCAATAGAACATCTAAAGGCATCCCCCCCACAGAACTGTACACACCTATCTATGGTCAGTACGCAGATTTGTGTACATACGTTGCATTGCCGTTACATGCTGAGAAATCATAAAAACAAGGAAGCAGACGATCATAGTAACGGACATGTGTACTTTACCGTTGCACTGGCTTGGTGATTCGATGCTCCCTCGAGATGACGATGGAGAAACAGACGATCATACACACAACAATCAACGTTAATCAATATATCAATATGATGTGTTAATCCGAAAACAGTATATTTTATATAAAATTATATATATGCAATCATACGCACATAAATACACTTGAGTCTTTATATGTTTGAATGTAAGCAACGATGTGCCCGACTGCCCAACCTCAGGACAGACGGTGGCCCCCCAACCTCGCGCGTCTTGGAGAACGTGGTCCGACAAGGCTTTGGAAGACACCGAGTTGAGTGGGGCCCGAAAGATGAGTAAGCTGGTTTGGAACTTTTATAGCGACTGTTGGGAGAATGGTCCACTACTTTTTTACAAATTTGACAGCCGGATGGGTGAATCTGCCAATTCTTTTGCCATTTGCCCAAGCAATGTTTGCTGCGTTTTGTTGCTGCTGCAGGTCCGATGCAACAAGGACCAGCCCCCGTGATCAAGTCGCATCACGAGCGCCGCACCCAACTTTCCTAGATGAAGTGGGAGAAGCGGTGCGTTGCAACAGAAAAAGTCTGAGCAGACCTGTGGTCTCTGGGCAAACTGTGGTAGGTAAACGGTAAATGGTGTCTGTTAATGGCCATTCATGCGGTAAAGCAAATGGTAAGCCATCCCCAATTGCGAAATGGAAGATGATCATGCTTGTCATTGGGTACAGCATGTTTAAAAAAGCAAATCGATCGGTTATCTTGGGCTATTTTGATAGGAATAAAAGTGTAGTGGTTCATTTCTGGGCTAATTTCTCGCTAACCCTGGACTTTGGAAGAATCATGTGATATCTCAGCCCAAATCAAGAGTGTGGCAGGACATCTCAGGTTAGGAATGGCATAGGTCAAAGCCAACGGTTGACATCAATGATAGGATACATTTGAATTTGTATATACATACCATGCAGGTTACCAGGTTGCAACTGAGGGGAATTGGCCAAATATTGGAAATAGAATGGGTGAACATGCGTCAAACATGTTTAAACACCCCCCAAAAAAAAACAAAGAGAAAAGTGTTTCCCAAATAGGCACGATCGCTATGTTTGTTTGCTGTGATGACGACGCAGAAAATGCACGACTGGTTAGTGGAGTTCGGAAGACATGACACTGACTTCACTTGTAGACTTGACCATAGTTGCTACAGTACGTTGTCTTGCAACCAGAAACATATCAGATATTAGACATAGCCCAGCCTATACAGCCTATTTTCATCTATACCCTCGGGTAATCAAACCTGGCAATGGAAAATCCTCATTTATTGATGATTTGTTCCAGCTATAAACCTCCATATTGTTCGGCGATCTCCCAGCTAGCTACTTGTACGTTTGATTTCCAGAGTGTATAAGTCGGTATAAGCTACAAAATTCGAGCACCATCATATCCCCATGATATCTCCATGATATCCCCATGATACTACATAAAAACACCCCTTCGCCTTCGAAACTCCTTCGAACATAGACAAATTGCACTAGCAGGCGCCCGACAGCATGGCGCCACGCCCTGTTTCGCCGCCAGTGCCGGCAGGGGACTTAGAAGCGAAGCCTGGCAAAGCCAGGGGACACCTTGCTCCCCCAACACTAGGGTTTTATAAACAAATAATGCCTACTGGAACAATAAAGTTATTTAATACCAGTAATTAACTTTTTCTGGAGTAACATACACTTATTATGTAATACATACTATTATTTCCGGAAAAATGTATGCACCTCCTTACGCGTAGTCTAGTTATAAGTTATAAGTGTTTGTAGTTCTATTTGGATGAACTATAGTGACATCACCGTGACATAACTGGAATGATGATGAGTAAGGGAAACAATCAAACGGAAAGGACCTTATTTTAGCTATTTTTAAGTTGGGGAGTGAATTATATAATTTAATGTAATTCAGCCACATCAACGGTGATATGCTGCAGTTATAGTTTGACTACATGATGACTGACAATGTGTTTGTTCCATGGAACTTCACCAACAATAGAGGAAGTCAGTGCACATGAAAACAATGTGATTTGCAGTTATTTGCCTAGAATCCCTGATTTGTTTTAGATACTTGGACAGGTTGCCACTAGGTGACTGTAGAATGTAGAAGATGGTGGGTGTGAGTTTGAAACCACCTACCATGATCAAACATGGCAGGAGCAGTGCAGCTTCATGCTGTGAAGCCCACGGGTGCTTGTCAAAAATGAGTACCTCCTGGTACCCGAGGATAGTATCCTTGAGTCCTCAGTGGGTCCCACTCTTGGTTGAAAGGAGGTCCTTTGAAGCCCCTTTTTTCTCCCTCGTTTGGATGGCAAAACTCACGGGAACCAAGTTTGTGAACCCAGTGTTTGATTCCAACATTTGAAATGGGTTATTCCATGTGCGATCATTTGTACGTGATACCAGTGCATGGGTCGATTCTGACCTACCCGGCCTTTGTGAACCAAATCTGGAAATTTACAATCACCCACGTAGAAAAGGATTTTCCATTGCCAGCCTAGACAGCCAGCAGGCGCGTCAGCAGGTGCCATGCTTGGGGGAGTGGTTGGAACTGGGGAAAGCACCATTTATTTCTGATGTTGTTTGGCGTTCCAGTCAATTAACTTGGTTTATAACTGTGCTAGAAATGGCTCACAAATGATTTATGGTGAATACATCTATAATCATTTAGGTATATAGTCTATGGTTAGATTGGGTTATGAACCAACGAAGATAGCTGGTGCCTTCTTGCAAGGCTGACTTTTTGTAGGGGAACAACACACACACATATATATTTATATATATGGAAAAAGTATGGAAATGTCAAGTCAAGGAACATCATTTTCTTGAATCCTTTTTTTTGAGGCTCTGATTCTTTGTGGCCATGACTACATGCTATTTGGTGGTTCGGGCAGCGCAAAGGTGGTGTAAACCTGTATGAGTACAAGCGGCTGCTTGTTCCATTAGCCTTTATTTGAAGTACAAAGGTTTCTGTCAGATAGATGGATATAATATAACAGTATTGCAACATGGATGCATATATACATGCACGATGTATATGATGTTTCTAATGTAATTATCCGTTTTTCTTTGCATGCAGACATTTAAAGGTTGCGTCGCACATACAATTCGCATCATTTTCTGTAATTAATATGTATTCATATGTTGTCTTTCTAGGGCATCACTAAATTCGCAATAAACATGTGCAGATGTTTCATTATGATACGTCACGTAGTCCCTTCCCCAACTATATCTAAATTTGAAATACCACCAAACGAAATCCTGATGAATGTACTGTATCTACTCAGGTATAGAGGTCCTTCAAAATTTGGGATATTGAATGTGTTTGGGGATGGCCTGTGAACCTAGGAGGGGCCATCCATGGCATCGGCTATGCCAATGCCACCCTTTGACGATGAGGCTGGGAACTTGTGGGAACATACACGGTTAGGAGGGGTTTCAGGAGCTATGGGTTCCTGTATTCCATAATATTCTCTATATATATAATTATATATATATACATATTCTATCATATTCTTATTAGATGGGGAGCCAAGGAGCTACTAAGAGTTTCCGAATCACATGATAGGATCAGAATGGGTTTTACACATGTCATGGGAAAATACATGTTTATGTTTTATTTTTTTAGGCACTGTATTTTGCCATGTCTTGAATTCGAAATCGATGGGTATTTCCAAGGTGATGGTCAGATTTTGGGATATCAGCAACATCCCCGGAAAATGTGTTGGAGTTTCCCAGGCCCTGGTTGTTTACCGGAGGGTTCAACTGTTTCTTCGTTCATGTTTTCATTTTTTTGGGAGGGGGTAACAGGCCAAGCGCTTTATGCCTTGCATCCTGGGAAGATGCCAGGGGCCAACTGAAGCCATGATGCCCTGCCCTCACTGCCAGCGAAGCTTCAGGCAAGGGTTGATGGGATTTCATGGGAGTTTCCTACCATGGGGGACCCGAAAGTCTTACAAGTTGAAACCAGTCCTTTGAGGGACCCTAGACATATGCTGTATGTAGTGTATATATATATATTATATTGAAATACCCCAATTTCCAGCAACACCGATGTTATAAAACGGATCGATTTTCATCGATCTGATATGACGGATAGAAGAGAGAGGGAACGGCATTTGTAGGGCACCAAAATGCGCACATAAAACATGTACAAACGACAATTTGTTCGTAGATGTTCGTAGCGATACAGGGCTGTACAGGCACATGATGCACAGAGTTTGAGATCGCCATTCTCCCAGGCAATCAGCTCTGGAAAGGCATGTGGGCATTTGCCAGAAAGTCTTCCAAGAGAAACGGAAGGCGGGATGCAGACGTTGTCCCCTTGGGGGCCCCCAATGGGTCCCCAAGCATTGCAGCCATCAGCATGGCACAAAGAGTTTGGACTCCTATGACCCACTGCTGATGACAATCCCATAATATATTAACACCAAAAACAGCCAAACAACATTTTAAAAACATCGAAAGATAGAAAGGAAAGTCATTGATCACCATTTTTCAAAGGTAGGCTGTGCTTCTCTATCCATTTGGAGGCGTCCATAGTGAGTTATTTTTGGACATCAGGACGCCAAAACCAACGCTGCCAGGTGTTCAACGCGGCCGGGGGCTCGGAGCATGTGCCATGTGCATCCCTTAAAATGGCATTGGCTGATGTTTACCGGGTAAAACTTGGATGGGTAGTTTAGCACCCTTACTTTTACAATTAATTATTATGTAATATAAGATTGGATAACATATAAGATTGGATAGCATATCTATATTTCTTAAATCATGATATTGGCCATGTCTAAGCTGTTGGAGGTGGGAATTTGGAGATTATCCATATCTACCCAAGGGTTTTTGTTGTATCAACAGCCAACATATTTGACCTTTACGATTCAACTTCAGCAACCAGCAAAACGGTAGAACATATTTCACTCAAAACATATGGTAAATTGAACCTGTTCAATCTTTTGTTGCTAAATTCCACGATGTGTTTCACTGCAATTGAGGTGAAACATGCAGTGCCTGTGGAAGCTCTGAAGGTGCGAGGATGGAGCACCAAAATAGCTTCATCAAACTAAACTCTCGGCGAACCAAACTCATGTTGGGTACTATATGCATCTATATGCCATATGGTCTATAAGTTTTTGTTGGACGAACTCGTATTTCTCCACTCTTGGGTGGATTTGCAAAAAATTAGGACCCTCCGAAACCCCGCAATTTGATGCAATTTGAAGATTTTTGTTGTTGCAGGGTACACCAATTTGACTCTACTGTACTTTTTTACCCCAACTAGTCTTTCGTTGCCGTGCACTAAGAAAGGAATGCTGATCCCAATCATTTTTGAACGCACCAAACTGAAGCGCTACCTCATTGTCAATCTGCAAGGCCAAGAAAGCACAAGAACGCCAGGTGCAGCAAGCGAAAGTCCAAGCGAAAGTGACCCCCGGATATCACCAGAGAGTCAAAATTGATCAAAATTGAGCCAATAGCTCCAAAATGAATACATCACCAGCATTCACCAACTAAGTTCAACTGTCAAGATACAGAGAATTTGGATGATTTAAAGTTTAGAGCTGCCACCATTTCAATGGCTGATTCGGACTTTGAAATTACTGCCCAGACAAGGCATGGAGCAGTGTCCAATCATACGGGGAGTTGTTACAGGGAGTTGTGTGTCCTCAATTCCTCCAATATCTAGAAACTTCTTGTTGGCGATGACTGGGTCAACCTGATTAAAGTGTGAAAACAATCGTTTGGTCATTTTGGTCTTTACTGTTTAAGATCGAGACTTCCCAGCTAGAGATGATCATATGATTACTAAGATTGACCCACTGTATCTATATGTAAATAGATTAAATAGCCAAATTTCGAAATCACATGTGAAGTTGTTAAATAACCCCGTTAATTGCGATTATGTATTCGTGGGGCCCGACGTGTCCAGACAGAGTTATCGCTCGAAAAAACGATAAAAGGAAAAAAACGATAATGATTGTAATATGTATATATCATGGTGGGGTTGTAAAGCCATTTGACTGCAGCCATTTCGCATTGTCCAGCTGCGATGGGGCGCACTCGGACACATGTGCGTTTCTGCACAAGGAGATCGGGCCTATGGCAAGAAGTGTAAACAAATCAGCGTCATTGTCATTGTTGTGTTTCTTTTTGGGTGGCTTCCTTTGGAGAGGCTATAATATCAGAAACCTGCTGCGCAGGAGCTTCCGATACCAGGCATTTCGCTTGGCACCAGCTCCCGGAGAGCGAAAGACGCGGTTCGAGGAGTCGGAGCTCCACGCATGGCAATGGCTCATGCAGTGGAGCGATAGACCTCCTCTTGAGCAGGTTCCGGCCCCGTTCCTGGGACTTGCCACCTCCTGATCCGAGCTCGACCATTGTCCTGTGTCGCAAGTAGGAGGCCCAGAAGCACAGACAAAATCCTGCCTTCCGACCCATTCGAACATTTCACGAAAAGGTTCTGGCCAGAGCACAGAAAGCTGCGAAGGACAAGAAACGGTTACTGCGCAAACTCGAGGCCTTGCGAGGTGACCCTGTTGATGCTTCGAGCTCCAGCTCCTCTAGTTCATCCTCTTCAGATTCTAGCACCGAGAGCGAGCAGTAAAATGATTGGTCGAGCCACTGCTCTCTTCTGTTATTGGAAGAACAAAGGCAAATTCCAGCGTATAAGTATGAAACATGGAAAAACGATAAAAGGAAAAAAAAAAAAACGATAACAATTTCAGGGAACAAGGATTTTCCACGGGGTTTTTTTACAACCTCATGTAATCGTAGATTTATAGCCAGGTACTTCCCATGTTTTTTTCTCTCCTGAGTTTAGGATCATACTTTTTTTAGTCCCACGGTTTTTGTGGGACAAAAGTCTCCAGGAGAAGCAAGAAAAGCGCGCTGCAGGAGGAGTATCATGGGGATACCCCAGGGTAAACATACAGAAAATGATCGAAAAAATGATCGTTGGGACTGCATATCTATGAGAACGTTTATCCCAGGATAAACCAAAACATCACCTTTTTTGTATAATGGCTGCAACTGGCAACTCTACAGCTATTTTCAACCTTGTGTTTTTGTCGATTGTTATTTGTGTCAGCCTTGTAATGCGTGGAAGCTGGTAAATCATGATCATTTCTTAGTTCAGGTAAGTAAAGCATTGGATTTCATCCAGAATCCAGATAAGTTGATAATCTTCAAATGGCCTAGGACCAGGAGCCAGGCGTCCCGAGGAGCAGCCGCTGAAAGGTGCGGTACATGGCTTGATGTGGCCTCAGCTTGCGCGAAGCTCCCAATGGAAATTCACCAGTTGTTTCTTCACTATGGAAATATATGGATAACTTTAGTATAAATATATGTGTAATATAAAGTTATCTATTAGGATTATATGTGTAATAATTCATGACTTGGGGTCATCTAAATTCATGAATGTTGATATTTTTAGGTCTTCATTCTGGGATGACGAGGGGAGATGATCAGATGATCTTCCCGTAGTTTGGCTTAACTACAGATCTGCCCGCCATGGCCTGCACCACGAAGAAGCTATGCGTCCACACACAGCTGGCAGACCGACCGGCATCGCTCACTGAACCCTGTCAGTTGGGAAAAAAAAGTGCGGGTGTATATGGAGTGTATACACACATATATTTATGTGTATATATATATATATATGTAAAAACGAAAACTATGTCTATAACAGTCTATATACATATATATATATATATTTATGTGTGTAGATGTGTATGCATATGTGTAAATAATTAAATAAAAAATAAATACATAAATAGACAAATAAATAAACAAATAAATAAATAAATATATATATATATACACATGCATACATAAGTGGGCGCATGTGTGCATATATATATATATATAAATTTGCATGCGTGTGGTTCCTTTGTCCATGTTCAAATCTCAGCATTTGTTGGCACGCAGACAAGGTGAGAAAGTTTGCGAAATCAGTGCATTTCATTCATTCATCAAAGGTCAAAAAGATTGATGTTGATTTCCTGGGATAAGAAAACTGACTCATGATGCCCACCATTCCGGCATTTATTTATTTTTCTTAGTGGCCACCTTTGGTGCACTGCGTGGGCGCTTTTCCCAGGAAGCAGTTCGCTGCTTTCTGCACCTTATGCGCAAACCTGCGCCCCCTCTAGCAGCTCCTTGGTCCTGCATCGATGCCTTTTGGAGACAGGAGCAATGATAAAGATATGTGCTAAGTACTCATGTAATCTCATCGAATCTAATTATATACCCTGCAAAATTAAAAGAAAATTCAGGGACTCTCAAACTGAATTCACTTGGCAGTTGTGTTTCTAAAGCTACCGGCAACCAAGTGATTTTGTGTCGTTTTGGGACCTCATTTCGAGGAGACCAGGCGGGTGCAATGTCAGGTGCGCAAGAAACTTGAAAAACAAGTGGCCTTGGTAGGTGGTTACCATACATATATAAATTGGCTGTATCTCCCCAAGCCTTTGTTTATCCTTTATCTCTGCAGGACCCATACAAGTTTGTCTAAGAATAGGCCACCCCCAAAACCCTATGATTATCATATGTTATCATGTATGATTGTCCCAATTAAAGTGGCAATTTGGGTCCCAACCAACACCCCCCTTGTTTGCGTCCATGGCATGACCGGCAGGTGCTTTCCAATATCAAGGCCACCAGAGCACGCGTTGCGAAGGCACAGCTTAGGGTCTCATGCAACTCCGAGTTCAACATCACCGAGGTGCATCCAGAGCAGCTGGGTTCAACAAAAAAAGGGGGAGCTCAGTGCTTCTTTTCCGGCTTCAAAAAAAGGTGCTGAATGTTTGGTTGTTTGGTTGGGGGCGGCCTCTATCATTTTGATTGTAAAGGTGAATTTCATTCAATTTCTATGTTTGCATCAACGTGTTGGAAGCATCTCATGTCATTGATCAACCTCACTCGATAATTCCAGCAGGGCCAGAGTAGATGTTCACTGTTTGATCATGTTTCAAGGACCTCAAGGACCACCCCCTCTTGTATAAGTGTTATTTGTTCTACATTACCAGGAGCAGTCAGTTAAGAAGATCAATTCGCTTTCATGGGCGTTAAATTGTATTTCAGAAACCTCTTTGATACCTTCCCTGATCTTCTTTGAAATTGGCTGATGCCATCCTACCTTTCAGCACCTTCACCTCACCCAACGCTGCTGATGGGTGGTTTCAAATATCATATGTTTCTATGTTTGCATATGCATGCATGCATATATATATATATATATACATACACACACATATTAAACACATATACAATACTGAAGCACATATGTGTTTATATAGTTTAGATGCTTTTTAGGGACAATTTATTATATTCACAGAACCTGTTAGCTTTATTTAAAGGCCTAGTCGGCAGTTTACCAATCATATGTTAACAATATCAACATCATACATAATAAACCAATGCATAATACGCACATATCATTGGTTACTATACATATCATTGAGTTAGTCAATGTTAATCATGTGATATCATATGTACATAGACATGTATAGAATAGATATGTATAGATATGTGGTTCCCTTTTGCTGACCCCGGCAGTTTCAAAAGCCCAAGGCTTTGCCGATTGCTGGGCTACGAGCCGAATGAAATGGTTGGAATGCAACTGGGCTGCCATGGGCCCCACGGGTTAACCCGTGCCGTAAAACAAGGGCTTCGCTTGGGGCTATTTGGGGGGGAAAGGGATGAATTTTATAACGCTTCTTATGTTTGGGTTATTGTTTGCATTAATTTTAAGTCAGTGAAATTGGACGTCTAAAAGTTGCATTTTTTGTCATGCCCGATGGCATGACTCAATTACCTGATCATATTATCTGATTTACTCGACCATGATTGCCATCCATTGTGGAGAATCCTGTGCACAGGCAATTAGAAAACAGACAGCTGGGGCTTTCATTGTTGCGATGTCAGCACAATGGTTAGTGAATGTTAGTGAAATAACAAGCAGTTTCGATATAAAGTTTCTTGCTCAAACTGTGTGACAGGCTCCAAGCAGGCTTGATCGGTGAAAGTTTCTTGATAATTTGGACATCTATTCTGCATTACCTTGGTGGTAGTTTCAAGTGTATATATATATATACATTGAATTGTGAACATTTCTACATATATGATCATATACATTCATTTGCCATGTATGTGACATATGCACCATTTCATTGCTTAAACAAGTAGAATCTGTGAACCAACTGACTTTCACACTGCTTCAGCATCGTGACGTACAACACTTCACCAAGGAGCATCTTAGGGTTGATGTCACCAGTGGTGGCAGATGCTCATGCAACTTGCCGCAAAGTGTGACGGGAATGTGGTGATGTCCTGAGATGTATTCCTTATTGACCTCTTTTGTTCACATGGAAGTTTATGGATCTCTTTATGGATCCTTTTTGTCCTTTATGGATCTCTTTATGGATCTATTTATAGATGACGTAGATATTTGTTCCAAGGGAAGTGACCCATGTCTATGCTCTTCTATCCTGCTAGATACCCAAGATGGGACGATACATCCATATAAAGACTTCCTGCGCACAGTGTGCATAGTAATCAGTATCAATCATCAATCATCCATTTCCATTAGATGTGCGTAGAAATCATCAAGGATCGCCCCACTTACAATCCCATCTCATTAAATCCCTATCATTACTAACTTATGCCATTTAACAGGATGCCCCAAGAATACTATCAACATATAAAAATGCCCCCAGTGAAATCTCATTAGTTACCCAATTCTACATAGTATTAAATCCCCCAGCTAATTACTCCCAAGAATCGCCAGTCCATTGGGGGGGTTCTCCGTCGAGTCGTTTTTCTCGGCTGAGGCATCCATGTTTCGGCAGCTCAAACGCGCGGGCGCGGGAGAGCGGTGTCAGGCCATGCAGACAGGGCATTTAAGATGCCGACCCTTGGTTGTACCACCGGTGCTGGGTCAATTTCAGGAGAATTTCCATGGGAGTCCGATGTGGGAATCCAGAATGCCAGAAACAAACTTTGGGGATATACCTTCAATCAACGCATCTTACTCATGTTGGATATGTTCGTTATAGTATATAAGTATACGTATCAATTGCTGTTGGGATATGGCACTTGGGATAACACACTATTACACTATACTGTATGTGGGCGGTTGTTTTTTTTGGCATATGATATGATCATCAATGGTGGCTGGTTGATGATGGCTTCCAAGTGTGGGATCCACACTTGGGCGTACCCCAATTTGCTGATGGATGATTTTTCTTTCGGCGATTAGCGGGATAACCATCCCCAAATATCAGCCATAAAAGCACTACTGCTGGTGATGTTTTTTGATTGTCGTTGTGGAGCACCCATTAGTCAATATTTTTGCGGCGCCAGAGTCTGGACGGGGATAGATGATCATATTATCGAACATTATAGAACCAAGACAGTCGATATATATATATATATATATGTAAATGTATATACACATATATATACACACATATATATACTATATATATATAACGACATCAAAATCCATCATGCATTTAGACAGAATTGAGGTACGACAGATAAGCCGTATTAGAATGTACAGTAGCAATGTTTGGTCATGATTTAGCCAACCAATCGAGAGCGATATTGTGTGTCCCATTTGGGGTCCACTCCGAAGGCGGGAAATATATCGAGTGACGCAAATGTGTTTAAGGCTGCTTAAGCAGAACAGGAGCCTTTTTGATGGATCATTTTCCATCGGTGAGAAAAAGGGATCACAATCAATTGCATATCTGAAATGTTGCAAGAGGCCAGCTGGCTCAACATAAAGAAATTTCATGAATTTTCATGAACTTAAACAGATATCCGAAGTTTACCCTTAAAGATTATCACATTCTCCCGGCTTTCGTCATGTTTGAGGCGATAGCATCGTGTTGGATGCGGACAGGAATCCAGTTCCCTGCCGATTGACAGCACCTTGGAAAGCATGTTTTCAGTTTTTTTGCCCAATATGAAACACCAGTTGGCCTTGGTTTCATTGTTGGGCAACTTCTATCATCAAAACAGATTGCCAAGTTGATTGGTGTTTATGTCTAGCCTTTGCTTTCATGGAACGCATTGCATGCAACATCGAGTGATTTCCTATCGCGATTGGTTTGGTAGACAATCTGCAGTCCATTCATTCTCGAAACTCCCTGCACCAATTTCTATGCGGTGCAAAAAAGGGTGCTGTCTTCGTCCAGCCAGATTTTCCGACGACTGGAGGTTTGACTGCATCCCTGGGGTCCCTGACGAACCTGACCTGAGGTTCAGCTGCGCATGGATTTGTCTTCCGAGCTCGTCGTTTGGCGAAAAATGTTACGCTTGTGGTTTTGGTTGGGTTTTTTCCAATAAACGACTACCACGTGGGCATGTTTATACCATCCGCTGAAATTGTGAATTTGGGGATGGTTTACCACATGGTGATTTTGTTGGCTGTGTGATTTAATCGTCAAATATATGGGAATGTCATAGGGGTTTCAATGCAACACATGTAAGGATATCACAAGCAAAGGTGTCGATACAAGAGTACAAGGGATAGTCACCAGAAATATCTTGAAACTGTTGATCCAGAGGTGAAGTCTTTATAGTAACCCCCAAACAGACACTTGAACAGATTAATTGTCTGTATATCATTATTTTCTTGTGTGATGGGGGGGTGCTAGACAGTCTTCCAGCCACTGTGGTCAGCATAGTTCATGCAATCCTTTTCTGGGGAAACCTTGGACCGGTAGTTGAAGAGTTGAATAAGCAATCCCATCCCTCATTCATATTAGTTGCACCCCCATTCAACAATCAACAGTCCCAAACAGTTTGTTTTTGATCCAAAACCCTACAAAATCATGGTTTCTGGGGGTGTTTCAATGTGTTTGTATTAGGGAGATAGGATTACGACGTAACTATTTATGTCATGGCTGTTATGGTATCCAAGATTAGCCCTGTGGTGTTCCTTCCTTGTTTGAGAGCGTAGTCAGTCCCATTTAGCCTCTGGCAGCTCATGCGCAGTCTGCACCTCTGCAACGAAAGATAATATATACCGGTTTTTCAGTCGGGTGCAGGAGCGGGAAACTCGTTTTCTTTTTGTATTGGAAATCCTCTACAAACAAATGGAGGTGTCAATATCGGAAAATCATCTATAAATCGTTGATTTCCCATTGCCATGTTACCAGAGGGTAGATCGAGAAAAACAGTTTCTTGCTGTGCTTACGTTCTTACCCACAGTGTATTGAGCTGTCAGCCTCTCAATTGGTTGGAGGGGAGTGTCAAAGGAAACGTCCATATGCGATAGTAGGAAGAAGCATGATGTCCCGTAAATGTTCCCTTAAACCAACATTTTCCCATGTATGCTAATGTATATGTCCATGCATTGGGACAGCCTTGCAAGTTGCGCCACAATTTGTGTAGTTCACTTTGTAAGTACGACGAGTATCAACGAGTCAGACACCTCGCAGTTGTTGAACGTCAGTATTTATTTGGAGTAAAAGGATGAGAGCGTCAGTATAATTTTATAGGATGTAACAATTGAAATACCAACATCAAATTGTCAAGTCTTGGATGCTGATACGTCCTTCCATCCAGCTCCAGGTTTTCAATGAGATCCAAGGGAAGGTATCACAATCTGTTCCGCGCGGCTTTGGGCAGCCACTCAGCAGCACGTGGATCCATTCTTGGTGCTCCAATTTTGACCCATATCCGGGAAACTTAATCTTTGTGTATTCGTGCATTATTTATAATATAGCACATGGTACATATATGTGTGTAATATGTCCTATATGTATCTATATATATATATATATGGGTGTGTGTGTGTCTATAATATGTGTGTGTAATTGCATACATAAATGTATAGAGAGAGAGAGAGACAGAGAAAACAAGAACACCTACTGTATGGTAGGCGGCTGTTACTCTGTGTATAGTGGGTAAGAGGGAATCTTACGAATGTGTATTCGTTCAAGTTGGGTTACCAGAGGGGGTGCCATATTTCAAAAACAAATCACGATCAATTCCAAACCTGGCACGTGACTCGGCAGACCATGGAAGAGGTGGATGTGTCTGAGATTTACCCCCGCCCGTGGGAAAATGGCAAAATTATGCTTTAAACCAAAGTAATGGGGTGCGCAACTTCCAGACAAACTTCAGACTGAGATTTCTTGGTGCCCAGATTTCCGCCCGGCGGTTCCCCAGCTGCGACCTTCGAGGTATATCCGGCAAGAGCCAGGGCTACACCTAGTGGATGCTAAGGAGCCAACCTGTCAACTTGACCATCCACACGCCATTTCCTTTGGGAAATGAGCTTGAAACCATCGAATTGGGGGGTACCCTCTGGTAAACATACAAAAAAACTATGGAAAATCACCATCTTAAATATGTAACTCAACTATAAATGGACCATTTTAAATAGCTATGTTAAATTACCAGAGGGTACCCTGTTTCAAAAGAAGCCAAATTGCTGAAGATGTATGGCTTTAGGCCTTCCTCACAAGACAACTGTTTTCCGGCGGCCTTCAAACTACCAAAGGAGCGTTCAACCACTTCAATTTGCCAGTGTATCCATCTCCGGCAGCAAAACTGTTTTTCACATCTTATATTTGAATATATTTTAGATCAACTTGGGTTAATCAGTCAGGTTGATTCCATTTGAGTCCTCATTGTGATGAATCTGAATGGAACATGATGGAACCATTTTGATTCTTCCTTGGCTGCAGAATTCACCATGATCCCGAGCTTCTGTGGTGGTCATCCTGCGGCTGTCCCCAGGAGGTTGCCTGCATAATGACCGACTTGGCCAACACCACAAGCCTCCCGCAGCACCACCGAGTTCAACGGATATGATCCGTGAAGGGAGGAGGAATTAAATATTAAACAACAGTTAAACACCGCCAGAAACCATGGTTTAGTAGGGGATGAAATCACACAATTTGGACATTTAGGGTATTTAATATTAGGAGGGTGGGATTGTTATACTTCTGGGTAAGCCAACGAGATTAAGAGTCTAATTCAATTTGATCAACTTGATCTTTTGCCATTAATGGAGGCATATGGGTGCATTAACTAACCATCACAAAAAATACAAAAAAAGTGTTGCATCTAAGATTGGCTACGACTTCTAAGGGGAGGAAGAGGGAATTTCTGGAAGAGCAGGGACGGAGCATGACAGCCAGCATTGTAAAGAACCCAAAAAGAGTGGGATGATGGGATTCAGCAGCTTTGCGGAGCATTTTTGGGGCGCTGATTCATATGTGAAAAAGAGCACCAGCTTTGAGATTTGCACTTCAGCTGGGAAGATTAGAACACATCATGAAAACATATCTTTAGAGATGCTATAAAACCATATTTTTTAACATCCTAGTCATTATAATATCATCAGATATATACTATATCATAATTTATCAATTTTTGAAAGCAATGAAACCAAGCTTCTCTATTGAATCTATTACGGAGGGTACGGGGGGTCATTTCTATAGGTACGGGTACGGGTACGGGTGTTCGGTACGGGTGTTGGGTACGGGTACGGGTGTTGGGTACGGGTGTTGGGTGCGGGTGTTGGGTACGGGTACAGGTGTTGAGTATTGTTGGGTACGGTTACGGGAATTGGTATTGGGTACCGTTGTTGGGTCCGGGTACGGGTGTTGGGTATATGTTTGGGTGCGGGCACCGTACCTATGTACCGTACCCATGTACCGTGTCCATGTACCGTGCCACCGTACCCATGTACGGTACTCATCTACAGTACCACCGTACCCATCGTACGCATGTACCGTACCCATGAACCGTACCCACTGTACCCACCATACGTACCCAGTTAGCGACCGATCTATATAGCAAGCGATTTTTTGATATCTTTGACATTAGTTTGAAATTAATCTATACATTGTTTCATTAAAAAAAATAAAAATCGGTTGCCAGATCGGTCGCTAACTGGGTACGTATAGTGGGTACGGTGGGTACGGTACATGGGTACGGTACCCACCGTACCCACCATTGTACCCAGGTAGCGACCGATCTAGCAACCAATTTTTTTAAATACATCTTTTGAAAATTATTATTAATAAAAACTTTTTAAAAAAATGTTTTATCTTAAAAAATCGGTTGCTAGATCGGTCGCTAACTGGGTACGTATGGTGGGTACGGTGTGTACGGTACATGGGTATTGTACCCAGTACCATACTTACGTACCCATGTGCCGCACCTATGCACCCATGTCCCGTACCATGCGTACCCTGTTCGCCGTACCTGTAGTTTTGTCCAAACCGTACCTGAAAAAGGTAGCCATTAGAGCATTGCCCTTGAAAATTGATAAATCATAATTATATAATTATCATATAATACTCAGGAGATCATAATTTACATCATCCTTGCCTTGGTCTCCTGAGCCTCCTATGATCGATGTCCAGTGCCCCGCAACGTCCCCGTGGGGTCCAGGTTTCTCGATCCAGCAGCCGCCACGTGTCATGGCGGAGTTACTCCACAAGGCCTGCGTCAATGTCATAAACCCTGGGTTTTTCAGATATTATATGGCAGAATCTGATATGATATATTATACATATGGTATACTGTATATTATATAACTATATATATATATTTATGCATATATATATATATTATGGTATATTTTTTGTTTTTTACAAAAACTCTATTCATTAAAAATTCCACTGTATGTTTCTTCGTTTTCCATTTCGTGTCTGAGACAGCGATCTGCAGCCGCTCCTGAAATGTCCTGCTGCGGTGAAGGTCTATGTCACCGCAAACGCAGTGGTTGAAAGAGAAGCTCTTCCATACGTCTACATCCATGAAATTGTTGGAGATAGCTGCTTGGTACTTAGTGTTAAAGGATCCATCAATATGAATCAAGCTGACAGATGTTTTAGATTTCCCATGTTTTAACTGTTAATGTATACCACTATTTTTGCTTGCCATGCCCAATTCTTGCTGCTTCTGCAAGGTTATGCTATAATGTTGCCAAATCGGGGGAATCGTGTGAAGTTTTTGAGACTACATGGGATATGTCGAACTCAGGGATGACTGGAGTTTCCTGGAGCCAACAGTCAAGTCAGCACGGAGAACTGCAAGATGCACACCATTTGGCAATAGTTGAGAGGAGTCCCGATATGACTATGACTCAGACACGCACCTTCATACATACATGCATGCATGCATGCATCCATCCATACATTCATACATACATAGATTCATACATACATAGATAGATACATACATACATAGATACATACATAGACATTCATACATACATACATACATACATACATGCATACATACATACATAGACATACATAGACATACATAGACAGACATAGACATACATAGACAGACGTAGACAGACGTAGACAGACATAGACATACATAGGCATACATAGACATACATAGACATACATAGACATACATAGACATACATAGACATACATAGACATACATAGACAAACATAGACATACATAAACATACATAGACATACATAGACATACATAGACATACATAGACATAGACATACATAGACATACATAGACATACATAGACATACGTGGACATACATAGACATACATAGACATACATAGACATACATAGACATACGTGGACATACATAGACATACATAGACATACAAAGACATACATAGACATACATAGACATACATAGACATACGTGGACATACATAGACATACATAGACATACAAAGACATACATAGACATACATACATACATACATAGATACATACATAGATACATACATACATACATACACACATACATACAAATACATACACATACATACACATACATACACATACAGTACATACATCCATCCATCCATCCATACATACATACACAGATACATTACATTACTTTACATTACATTACTTTACATTACATACATACATAGATACATACGTAGATACATACGTAGATACATACATAGATACATGCATAGATATATGCATAGGTTCCATACATAGATACATACATAGATACATACGTAGATACATGCATACAAACATACATGCATACATAGACAGATAGATGGATGGATAGATAGATAGATAGAGAGAGAGATACATACATACATACATACGTACGTACGTACGTACGTACGTACATACATACATAGATACATAGATACATACATACATAGATAGAAACATACATACATAGATAGAAACATACATGCATACATGCATACATGCATACATGCATACATGCATACATGCATACATACATACATACATACTTGCATACATACATACTTACATACATACATAGATACATAGATACATAGATACATACATAGATACATAGATACATAGATAGATACATAGATAGATAGACAGATAGATACATACATACATACATAAATAGATACATAGATACATAGATAATCATAGATACATGAATACATAAATACATAGATACGTACAGACATACATACATACATACAGACATACAGACCTACAGGCATACAGACATACATACATACCTACCTACCTACCTACCTACCTACGTACGTACGTACATATTCATTGATCCAGATCCTGAAATACAGGAAATACAAGATACATTTGCCAATGCCCACTTCAATTTCAATCCCCATGTTTATCCAAGATATATATATATATATACGTATACATATATATATATATATTTCGCATTTTTGCCGGCTGCTGATTTTTCCATTGAACCAGATTTGTTATTTAAATCCCATAATTCATCCTATAATCTTTTCCGCATTAGGTTGACGGATTGATGAAACCAAGCGCCCTGATTGTGACCCCCCCGATGATAGCTGTTTTCCCCCAAACGGTGTGGCCACACTGAGGGGTTCTTACGGTAAGGGTTTAGGCCAGGTGTTCAACTGACGTGGTATCATTCGTGTCCGGCCAACTCCCTGTAAATTTCCACACAAAATGGCTTTTGTGAAATGTCCATGTGCATTTCGACTTCGCAGGCTCGCACAAAACAGTGGCCCCGAGATTAGCGTCCGGCAGTTTCCCTGTAAATTTCCAGACAAAATTGCTCTTGTGAAATGTCCATGTGCATTTCCACTGCGCAGGCTGCCACAAAACGCTGGCCCCGGGATTCGCGTCCGGCCTTTTCCCTGTAAATTTCCAGACAAAATGGCTCTTGTGAAATGTCCATGCGCATTTGCCAACAGAGCTCTTATAGAGATCTTGTACAGGGATCTTGCCAGGAGACCTCTTTTGGAGATCTTGTACAGAGAGCTGGTGAAGAGAGCAGGGGCTTTTGAGGTCTTGTATAGAGACATTGCATAGAGATCTGTTGAGATCTTGCCAAGAGGCCTCTCACAGAGATCTTGCCAGGAGACCTCTTATGGACCTGGTGCAGCGAGCAGAGGTCTTGCTCAGAGATCCTGTGATGGAGATCTTGTGTTGCCAGAGGCTTTTTACAGATGCAGGCATGCAGCCGACAGGAGTCATGCTGCAGATCTTCCTTAGCAGGTGCCTCTCCAAAAGCTTTTCGCCATGGTGTGTTCGCTTTTCCAAGATCTTGGAAATGCCTTGAAATCTTCTCCGCGAGAGATTTCTCTGCAACATTTCTACCACGGAGCCTGTGATGCTTCTTGAATGAGATTCTCTTGGGCTGTTGTTGCTCCTTCTCGCTTGTAAGCATGCGGCTCAACTGAAAGGAGTCCCCGCATCGCGCGCTGCCCCTGCTGCGCACCTCTGCACCAGACACCTTGCCCACAACACAGCTGCGATCCTTGTGGGTAAACAGTCTGCAGCTGCACTACTCCAGTTCTGTGCCACACCACAAACCTCCAACTAATGAATGTCTACGCTTCTATTTCTAATGCCTATTTTTCCTTTGGTTCCTCAAAGCACACTGTATGGGGTCTCTTGCCGGGATATTGATTGTCGAAACGTAGTTACTGGTGGTCACTTTTTGATTCCTTGATTTCATGATATCCCCATTATTTACAGCCTTCAATTTCTGGCTGAAATCACCATGAATAAAACCATAGGGCTGGGGTGTTGGAATTCCCATGGAATCCCCATGGCAACGTCGTTGAAAGCCTAGGCTTGCTATTGCTCTGCAACGCTGAGTTCATGGGACGCTTTCCAGGTCGAACAGCTGCCATTGGCATCTACGTCGCCAGCAAGGTGCACTATGGCAATGCTGTCAATGTATAAGATCTAGTAGTACATAAACGCAAAATATCTAATATGTGAATATGTATGTATATTTATATATATATATATCATTATATATCATGTCTACAATACACCCACATACGAGTATTTTTTGAATGTGTATATAACACACACATAACTTAACAACAGAAATGGAAATTGTAATAATGATAATGACAATAAAAACAGTAATATGCGTATAGTAGGCACTATCTTAAATGATCATATACTGTATTATACCGAAGGTCTAGCTGTGACTGCACCTTGGGCCACCTGGGGCCATCCATCAAAATCGATGGCCGTTGCACTTGGATGCGGTTCCTGCCGAATTGGTACTGTAAGCAGTTCATAAGCCATGGACAAATCAGGATATCCCATTTGAAACTGTGCTTCACAATGGATAGCATTTGCGATTCCCGGGATGTAGGGACCCAGAAAATGGACGACCATTCTACAAACGGAAACTTTTCTAAGAGAATTGTTTGCTTTGCCAAGTACCATTGTCATGGCACATCTGGTGCGTAGTTGGTGTTTACACCATTTTTTTCACAGCAAAATATGTAAAATATACAAAAGTTGTCTTAGGACACCAATGTATTTGATACATGCCGCGTGCTTATAGATACATGATCGTGAATGTCAGAACTATAGTGATTATCATCGAAACCATGGTAAAGTATTGACTGTCATGAGTTCACATTATGGAAGGTTTATGGTTTATCAGCCATGGCAGTCATTCCCGAAACAGTGTGTCCACACTGAGGCGTTCTTACGGTAAGAGTTAAGGTCCGTGCCTGATCAGGGCGCTCCATCTGGCTTCCGGCATTTTTCCTGTAAATTCTCTCTTGCAACATGTCCATGTGCATGTCGATTGCGCAGGCTCGCGCAAATTGACCGGAAATAGCGATGTCTGAAGCCTATCATCGCTATCTTCAGCTCCACAATGGACATTCTCCCTCCAACAAAGAAGTGCACCACCCTGTACACGAGATTGCCACAACTGCCCTTCCTTGATTGGCTGGCAAGATACCGCCACCATTGGGAACTCATTGTTGCCCGTGGCTTCGAATCGCTATGATTGGGATCAACTTGTATTTCCTGGAAATGGGAGAGTTCACTCGAACACTGCTGACGTGTAGTTCACGAGGCCTGTGCTTGACAAAAAAGGCTCGCACAAAGTCTGCGACGCGTCTTTGGACGGTGGCATCATTTTTGTAAATTCTCGCGCCAAATTAAATGACTCTTGTGACTTGTCCGTGTGCATTTCGATTGCGCAGGCTCGCACAAACTGTGGGTCGCGCTCTTGGTCCCCGGCATTTTTCTTGTAATTTGTAAATTCTCGCATAAAACCGCTCTTGTGACATAACCATGAGCATTTCGACTTCGCAGGCTCGCACAAACTCTGCGCGCACTCGTGAAATGGCTCTTGTGGCATCTCCATGTGCCTTTCGACTGCGCAGGCTCGCACAAAACGAGTGTCCCGCTCTTGGTCCTTCCTGAGGCTAAGGTCTGACGATCTTGCAAGAGTTTCATCTTGGAGGCCCCAGTGATAGATGAAGATCTTGACCGAGGTCTTGTATAGAGGTCCTTGTGAGAAGATGTTGTAAACATCCTGATGAAATCCTGCCACATGTCCTTGCATAATCTTGTGCAGGTCCTTCTGGGAAGATCTTGTGAAGATCTGGCTGACATCTTCTGAGTTGATTGCATGATCTTGCACAGGTCCTTCTAAGAAGACCTTGTGGAGATCCTAGATTCTTAGATGCTGATAAATTCCTCTCTAAGAGGTCCTTGCATGATCCTGTACAGGTCCTTGTCAGACTGACAGAAGATCTTGTGGAGATCCATTTTTTGTAAGAGGTCCTTGCCTGAAGATCTTGCAGATGCCATGTCTTAAACGTGCTTGTATGAAAGCTCTTCTGGGACGCTCTTGGTGGGTTCTTGTATCAAGATCTTGTAAGGCCCTCTCCAGCAGCAGGGCCTTTTATGACGATCCTGTAAGCTTCTCTTAGGGGTCCTGGCATGAAGATCTTGGTCATGGTCTTTTACACATCCTTGCGAGAAGATCCTGTGGAGATCCTGTGGAGATCCTAGTGACATGTTTCCAGAGGCCTTTGGATGATCTTGCACAGGTCCGTGTGAGAAGCTCTTGGCGAAGTCCTGGTGAAATCTTCTCGGTGTCCTTACATGATCGCGCACAGGTCCTTGTGAGAAGATCTTGTGGGGATCCTGATGACATCCTGCTTGTGTGCAAGTTCTTCCTGGGGGGTTCCTCGGGAGTTCTTGTCTGAAGACCTTGTGAGATCCTCTAAAGAGATCTATATAGAAGGTCCGGCTGCTGTAGTTGCGATCATGCCTCACTTCAGCTGTTGTATCTGGGACATTGACTTTCCTACCCCCCCACTGTTTAGGGCCTCTTGCCGGTGTAATTTTCGATATTTTTTGCAACCCTTTACTGCCCCACCACTGCCAGCCCGTCGCAGGTGCAGAAGGCCGTAGACGAGATGCTGAGATCCTTTGGAAGCGACCATGACATGCACCCTGCGGGGCATGGCATTGTTTCCATGGCATGGCCATCATGGCCATCATGGCCATCATGGCCATCATGGTATATGGCATTCTTGACATTAAATTGTTTTTTGGCGTATCTACATGGACTTTGTTGCGCCATCCATATGCTCCTGTGACACTTCATGATGCATTGAATGGATTACTCTCATACCTTCTGTTTCCATCAAACAATAGCAATTCACATGGACAGCCTGGAGGTACTTAAGGATTGGTATTGCCTCCGGTCCCTTATGTGCCGGTGTAGTTGATGGACGAAGTTTCCGCGTTTCTCAGAATTTTGGAGAGGTGACGGAAAGACGGTGTCATAACATCAAATTGCAAAATATTGTAGACCTATCTCAAAAGTCGGTTTGATTTTTGGTTTGCCACGTGAGCAAGGGTGACTCTTGTTGTGCAATCCCATTTGAACCACTGGATTTGCATGGGTTGTCTCCGACAGATGCTGGGAAATCAGTTCCAGCAAACAACATGATCAGTTTTGATTGCTTGACATATGCGTGCGCGAGGTCGGGTTTGGCATTCTTGGTTTCTGTATGTTTCTGTGTTGACCCCCCAGAAACAAGATAACTCTTGAAATTGTAATCGTCATGGCTGATTGCACCATATACATACACAATTGGTAGATGAGACCTTTTTCGGATGTTTTTTTTTTTAAGGCCCCATTTTTCTGTTCGGTAAGTTTCCAACAAGGTGATGCCCCCACTTACGCATCGCTAAGTTGTTTTAAATGGTATTTTACGTTGAGCATAGATTAACATAGTAATTCCTTTCCCCTAATACTAACATATACTAAACCCCCCAAATAATAAATAAACACCCCAGGTAGTTGTTTTTTAAATTAGTTTTTTATATTAGAGTGCGAAACTTCCCCCCAGTATTAAATTTAAAACCTTAATTTTTTCTATATCAAAATCTATGAGATTTCATTTCAAAATCTAATTAAAATATTGCCAAAAATTGGATTTCGAAGCTTTTCCCTAATATTAAATTAACAATATTGATACAAAAAAATGTTTTCGACCTTAAAAGACGGACCCTAATAAAAAACACCCCGGGGCTGACTAGTTTTATTATTAGGGGGTGAAACCCTGAAATGGTAGTTTCATTTTTAAACTGTCTTTTAAAGGGGATCAATTAAAAATCAAATTAGCCAACCTCAAATGTTCCAAAATTGGAGACGGTCCCTAGTTTTTATTATTTGGGGTGGTTCAGGGTTTAGTAATAGGGGGAAGGGATGATATAATGATGGTTATTTTTTTTTGGTTGTACAAACCTATATTACCTGTCAGAACTATTGTATAATATTAATATATTAATCCAGTGGTTAATAATGATGGTTATAGTCACCACCTTGCATATTGCACAGCAACCATATGCATCGGATTCGGGGACCACTGAGGTTTTTGGCTCGACGATCCACCTATCGCAGCGATTGGAACCTGGGGAAAAATAATGATGGGCCGGAGCTGGAACGTTTTCCCACAATTTGGCTGATATTTAGTGGCATATAGATGGATTTAGTTGTATTTCATGGGAATTTCCCAGCACAATGTGGGAATATAAAAGTCATCCTGAGAACATCATGGTGTCCCAAACGAATTGTGCATCGTCTTGCCCGCTTGCTTGCATGTTGATTGCAGTTTGGGGATTACCTACCAACCCAAAGTCCTGAGTTTGCTGAAGGTCTTGATTTGTTCTCCATCAACGACCGGAAATCCATCATGTGGCGAAGTTATGGCATGTAGCCCTAATGCTCCAAATAGTTCTAAATACCGGTGTTCAGACCCCAAAAACAAACACCAAAACCATGACCAAAACCATCTCAGAAGGTGTTTGGAGTAGTAGGGTATTTGTTTTTTTGGTTTTGCGTTCCTTCAATAACTTCCAGACGTGGCTTAGTTTTTCGAGCACTCAGGAATCCATGTGCCCACGCTCACAGATTGCTTGCTGCTCTAGATTTGCTGCCCAATTGCGGGAAGAGGCTGGACTAGTGTTGACTCACAACCCTGGTCTCCATTCGCCTTGGTGCATTTGGATATATATATATATATATATAGAGTTGATTCCTCCTACTATCAGGTTTGTTCAAGCAAAAAGGGGAAGCTGTTGAAAATGGTTGAAAATGGTTTAAACCATCCAAAACCTGAACTTTCCGGAGAAAAACTCATGAGTTTGAAAGATTTGGTTGGTTCTTTCTATACAAACATGGAGATGGATCGAACAAAAGCATGCCAGGGCACCAGGGGCACAAAAAAAAACAAAAAGCTACGTGAAATTTTAATCGTGGGACTCTACAGTAAGAAAACCATTAAAATCAATGGATAATTCCCTTTGGTCAAGTCTATCCTCTAGACATATGTATAATTATGTATAGTTTCCCAACTCAACCATGGTTTCTGGTGTTTAACATGAACTGGGGATGGAACATCACCATTCTGAATGGGGTAAGTAGATGATAAACATCCAACTTAAAGGGGCCATGTTTCCATTTTTTCATAGCTTGTTGAAGTACCAGAGGCAACCAGAGGAATCCAGAGGCTAGTTGAAATTCTGAATGGATGCTCCCTTCCCATGACAATCACATGGTAACCAGAATCTTCAATGGTGAATTTTTTGAAGATCTCGAGGTGGATCGGGATGCTATGCGCCTCAGCCAGTGCACGGCGGAACTGAAAGGTTTGGGCCAGGCCCCGGCGGCCCCGCAACGGGATCGTCGATTTTTCAGCAGCAAACATATGGAGTTCACCAGCACATATTGGGAAGCATCAAACAGTTTGCGATTTCACCAGCATGGGATGTTTTTTCGAATCTAATGATTAATGAATGGTGATATTATTTGAGTCATCCATCCTTTGATCATGTTAAATACCGCCAGTCACTGAGCCCCCGGGATGAATAGATCCAATATTTTTTCTGGCAAAAACATATTGATGATGGACCATTCCAGAAAATCGATCATTTGATGATCTCACTCTGGAGAAGCCAATCGTGAACCTATCGACAGTCGCAGCTGTGGGGTTGAATGGGAAAGATGTTTGCAAGGGCTCCCAGGGCTTGGGGTGATGTGGATGTACAAGTAGATAATATAATACATGCAATACAATATTCATGATATATATATATAATATTAAATTAATTATATATATATATGTGTGTGTGTATTGTTATAAAATTTACACATGTAATTGTTTCCATATCGTATGTAAAGCAGACATGACATATGTATAATATACTTGAAATAGATCGAATAGGCATGAACAGGTTAAACGGTTTGCTTTGAACAATGTGCATATACGTTATTTGTGTTGCAATGGGTTCCCCTTGCCGCAATTCGGAACCCATCATTCCTCATGGCAGGTGGACTACACAGTCGTAGATTTCCTTGGAACCCAACTCCCAGGCGCGAAGAAACAATGCCAAATAGATAAACCACAATAAGATAGAGAGATACAATACATATGTGTATATATCAATATGTATGTATATGTATATTGCGTGAATGTATATGTATATTATGCATTTGTAAATGTATATTATGCATTTGTAAATGTTTATTATGTAAAAGTATATGTATGTTATGTAAATGTATATTATGTATATGTATATGTCTATGTAATGGTATTTGCCTATGTACATGTATACTTGTGAAGTGCTATCCAGGGAACCGTTGGAAGTGGTCAAAACAATTATTTAGTAAAAAAACTGTAAAAAAAAAGTGTACCAGAACCTGTGCCCAAACAAGAATAGTAAAAATGATCTGTACCAGAACCTGTGCCCAAACAACAATAGTAAAAATGATTTGTACCAGAACCTGTGCCCAAACAAAAACTGTAAAAAAGAATTGTACCAGAACCTGTGCCCAAACAAAAACTGTAAAAAAAACTGTACCAGATCCTGTGCCCACATATTTGAAGCAACATCTCCCTATGTCTAGCCACAGCCTACATCTACATATGTATAGGTTATAGATCATAGATTCATTATAAATCGCGCAATGCAATTTAAGATCTTCCAACACCCAAAGATAGTTTTGATATGGCATGTGATAATTTAGCGGCAGAATGCCAACAACACCAAAGATAGCGCAATTTAGCCGTTCATATATGATTGAGTAGCGTACAAAATCTTGAACATAAGACAAATCAATGAATATGTAAACATGTACATGTATATAATATATACATGTATATATATATATTTAAAAACCTATGTAGAAATCAAAAACAAAAAAATAAACTATGCCTTTGTAATTTTCTTTGGGTTATACCGAAATGTGCAACAAAATATGACAATAAAAATGATTCTTAAGGTCTTAATCAGATACAAAAGAGGAACACATACTACATATTATCAATATGACCATATGATACAACTAACATTAAAAAAAAACGGAACAACATTTTATTATGTACTAAGCGAGTGATTCCCTAGGAAAAGAAGTTGAATTTTTTATTGGAACAACAAAAGTTCCAAGTTTATTGGTTTCGAAGGCGTCTGCAATTTGGAGTCCCGCTTCAAATGCCCCAAATGTTTTTTTTAACCTGAGAAACGCATCAAGGGGCATTCCAGTTACCCAGGAAGTAAAGAGTAGCCCATGTCACCCGCGCAACTCACATCAATGGCACAAGTGAAATTCACATTTTTTTTCCAGGTACACTTTTTTCGCTATATTTTTCCCGGTGCACTGCTTCCACTATTTGTTTCACTATTCTTTTTCCAGGTACACTTTTTTCACGATTTGTTTCACTATTCTTTTTCCGGGTACACTTTTTTCACTATTCTTTTTCCAGGTACACTTTTTTCACACTTTTTTTTCACTATTTTTTTCACTATTTTTTCCGGGTACACTTTTTTTCACACTTTTTTTCACTATTTTTTTTCCGGGCACACTTTTTTCACACTTTTTTTTCACTATTTTTTTCCAGATACACTTTTTTTTCTGATTTCAAAATAGTAAAAAAAGTGTACCCTTACGAGGAAAATGCACTTTTTCTTACTAGTTTTGACTGTTTTCCTCGTAAGGGTACACTTTTTTTACTATTTTTTACCCAGATTCTGATTTCAAAATAGTAAAAAAAGTGTACCCTTACGAGGAAAATGCATTTTTTTTAACTAGTTTTGACTGTTTTCCTCGTAAGGGTACACTTTTTTTTACTATTTTGAAATCAGAATCTGAGTAAAAAATAGTAAAAAAAGTGTAGCCTTACGAGGAAAACAGTCAAAACTAGTAAAAAAAAGTGCATTTTCCTCGTAAGGGTACACTTTTTTTACTATTTTGAAATCAGAATCTGAGTAAAAAAATAGTAAAAAAAGTGTACCCTTACGAGGAAAACAGTCAAAACTAGTAAAAAAAGTGCATTTTCCTCGTAAGGGTACACTTTTTTTACTATTTTGAAATCAGAATCTGAATAACAAATAGTAAAAACAGTGTACCCTTACGAGGAAAACAGTCAAAACTAGTAAAAAAAAGCATTTTCCTGGTGAGGGTACACTTTTTTTACTATTTTGAAATCAGAATCTGAGTAAAAAATAGTAAAAAAAGTGTACTCTTACGAGGAAAACTGTCAAAACTAGTAAAAAAAAATGCATTTTCCTCGTAAGGGTACACTTTTTTTACTATTTTGAAATCAGAATCTGAATAACAAATAGTAAAAAAAGTGTACCCTTACGAGGAAAACAGTCAAAACTAGTAAAAAAAAGTGCATTTTCCTCGTAAGGGTACACTTTTTTTACTATTTTGAAATCAGAATCTGGGTAAAAAATAGTAAAAAAAGTGTACCCTTACGAGGAAAACAGTCAAAACTAGTAAAAAAAAGTGCATTTTCCTCGTAAGGGTACACTTTTTTTGCTATTTTGAAATCAGAATCTGGGTAAAAAATAGTAAAAAAAGTGTACCCTTACGAGGAAAACAGTCAATACTAGTAAAAAAAAAATGCATTTTCCTCGTAAGGGTACACTTTTTTTACTATTTTGAATTCAGAATCTGAGTAAAAAATAGTAAAAAAAGTGTACCCTTACGAGGAAAACAGTCAAAACTAGTAAAAAAAAGTACATTTTCCTCGTAAGGGTACACTTTTTTTACTATTTTGAAATCAGAATCTGGGTAAAAAATAGTAAAAAAAGTGTACCCTTACGAGGAAAACAGTCAAAACTAGTAAAAAAAAAATGGATTTTCCTCGTAAGGGTACACTTTTTTTACTATTTTGAATTCAGAATCTGAGTAAAAAATAGTAAAAAAAGTGTACCCTTACGAGGAAAATGCACTTTTTTTTACTAGTATTGACTGTTTTCCTCGTAAGGGTACACTTTTTTTACTATTTTTTACTCAGATTCTGATTTCAAAATAGTAAAAAAAGTGTACCCTTACGAGGAAAATGCACTTTTTTTTACTAGTTTTGACTGTTTTCCTCGTAAGGGTACACTTTTTTTACTATTTTGAAATCAGAATCTGGGTAAAAAATAGTAAAAAAAGTGTACCCTTACGAGGAAAACAGTCAAAACTAGTAAAAAAAAGTGCATTTTCCTCGTAAGGGTACACTTTTTTTACTATTTTGAAATCAGAATCTGAATAACAAATAGTAAAAAAAGTGTACCCTTACGAGGAAAACAGTCAAAACTAGTAAAAAAAATGCATTTTCCTGGTAAGGGTACACTTTTTTTACTATTTTGAAATCAGAAAAAAAAGTGTATCTGGAAAAAAATAGTGAAAAAAAAGTGTGAAAAAAGTGTGCCCGGAAAAAAAATAGTGAAAAAAAGTGTACCCGGAAAAAATAGTGAAAAAAATAGTGAAAAAAAAAGTGTGAAAAAAGTGTACCTGGAAAAAGAATAGTGAAAAAAGTGTACCTGGAAAAAGAATAATGAAACAAATAGTGAAAAAAGTGTACCTGGAAAACAAATAGTGAAACAAATAGTGGAAGAAGTGCACCGGGAAAAACATAGTGAAAAAAGTGTACCTGGAAAAAATGTGAATTTCACCTGTGCCATTGATGTGAGTTGCGCGGGTGACATGTGCTACTCTTTACGTCCTGGGTAACTGGAATGCCACTTGATGCGTTTTTCAGATTAAAAAAGAAACATTTGGGCCATTTGAAGCGGGACTCCAAATTGCAGACGCCTTCGAAACCAATAAACTTGGAACTTTTGTTGTTCCAATAAAAAATTCAACTTCTTTTCCTAGGGAATCACTCGCTTAGTACATAATAAAATGTTGTTCCGTTTTTTTTTTAATGTTAGTTGTATCATATTGTCATATTGATAATATGTAGTATGTGTTCATATACATATCATACACACACACATACTTTAAAATATACATACCATACATACCATGTAGACACACAAACCATATAGACACACAGATACACACACAGACGTAGTTCACATATCCATATGTCAAATACATACACATCTACATACGTATAGCTAGACATCTAGATGGACATCCAGACGGACATACGACATAGGCATATAAATACACATATGCATATATACGTATACATATGCAAATGCATTTATACATATACACCACACATATATACACATGCATGGGCAATAAGAAAGAACATGTATCGAACCACTTGCTATTTCTTCATCCCTTACGCACCATTCCGCTCATTGAGCTTCAGATTTTTTCGCTGCGCCAGACACTGCAGAGACCAAAGATCAAGCAAAAACCAAGAGCGTCCACGGTGGAAAGAAAACTTGTTTGTGCAGTTCTACTTCCCTGATCTTCCCTGGCATTTTCCCTACTCACAAGTCACTATTTTCTTTTACTATTTTTTCCAGGTGCAGTTCCAGTCACTATTTTTTTTACTAGTTTTTTACTATTTATTTCCAGGTACACTTCAAGTCACTATTTTTTTTTACAGTTTTTTTACTAATTAATTATTTTATGGTTTCCAGAGGTTGGCTAAAATCCCCCTTCACAAATGTATACGTTTATGATGTATATATATATATATGTATAAGTTTTGTGTATATGTGTATGCATTTGTATTTGTATTTGTTTTTACGTATCTTTATATTATGTATATGTATATTGTGCATATGTAAATTTGGATTATTTATATTTTGTATAAGTATATATGTATATGTATATTATGTATATTATGTTCATATGTATATTTGAATTTTTGTGCATATGTATATATATATATATATATATGTATGTGATGTATGTATGTATGTATGTATGTATGTATGTATGTATGTTATGTATGTATGTATGTTTGTATGTATGTATGTATGTATGTATGTATGTTATGTATGTATGTATGTAATGTATGTATGTATGTATGTATGTATGTATGTATGTATGTATGTATGTATGTGTGTATGTATGTATGTATGTACGTATGTACGTATGTGTGTATGTGTGTATGTATGTAATGTATGTATGTATGTATGTAATGTAATGTAATGTAATGTAATGTAATGTAATGTAATGTAATGTAATGTATGTATGTAATGTAATGAATGTATGTATGTATGTATGTTATGTATGTATGTATGTAATGTAATGTAATGTAATGAAATGGAATGTAATGTATGTATGTATATATGTATGTATGTATGTATGTATGTAATGTATGTATGTATGTATGTATGTATGTATGTATGTA